TAAGAAAAAATCTTTTATTCTAAAATATAATAAAAATAATACAATAAGTATAAAAAATAAAAGTGATCCTACCAATGATTTGAATGTGTGTTTTGAAGGGCTGCACAAAATTCAATTCTTGCCATTACTCCATTACTCCATTTACTTTATTCCTCAATGGGTATCTTTCCACATTCTTAGAGATTTCCTGTGAGCAACAGGAAAATAGCCAAACTGAAAACATGTTCAAATGTGTACATGTTGATTTATTTTGTGGTCAAGAGTTGATGTGTTGTAAATGACCACACACACAAAGGGGTTGAGGAAATATGTGGTAACTTTATTGCCTTATATAGTGACATTATATAGTTTGTTACTTTCAAGTTACAGCGTACTTGGCAGCATATCATTGGCTCACAGAATCTTCCAGGTAACTTAAATCATAGGTTAATCATTACTGCTTTGCTTAAGCACTTATAATATTTAGCTATATTTAAAATCTAACACACATCCCACTTCCTCTCCTCCTTTTCCTCTTATTTACAGAGTTAGGGTCTTATCTTCTAATGCCATTTCCTGGCGCCTACGTGCAAGTAACCTTCCTTATCCAAGGTTTGCCATCCAAGATAGGAAAATTCCTGCCCATATGCAGACTGCAGACTCCTACATTGATGTAGTAGAGAAATGACATCATATAAAGTAGTTACACACATCTCCCTTTTCCCCTCCCAACACTCTTGATGCAATCATTTGGTTTCCAACTATTTTTGTTTATTGCATAAGTATATTCTTTTTTCTTCTTCTTAAAGAGCTTAGCTCTTTATGATAGGAATAAGGTGAACCTGTAGGGGGAGTAATTGATCAAATTTACTTGGGAAGCTATATGATGTGGGGAGTACTTGAACTTGGGTCTTGCAAGTTCAACCATTTCATTCATCAGGGCTGTACAACATCCTTATGGTTACAGGTGCACTGTAGGCTATGTGGCTTATAACAACAGTGGGGTTTTAAAGAGGCAAGCTGGATTCCTTAAACTAATCCTACTTCACTTCTTCTTCCTCCTCACCCCGCCCCCCAAAAAAACCCTTCAACCATTTTAGCCCATCCCTCTCCAAGTTGTTCTCAGGATACAAAAAATGGAGTGTTGGTAGACTACAGATAGCCTGAAAATTTTCAGCATCCTTCAGTCCTGACCAAAATATGTTGAAGACTACAGTTTCTCACTCTGGGAGAAGGCCTCCAGGTTATAGGGAAGGTGAATTAAAAAGTATGTTGTAAGGTGCTTCCTTTTAAATATTTACCAGCTGAGGAAAGGGCAGCATTCTACTCATGTCCTATAAGGATTTTTAAAGAGTTAAAATGAAGCCCTGCATAAGAATGAGATGAAGATTGCTAAAGTGAGTGAGAAAATTCTATGCTTACAGGAATGAGAAAAGAATAAGATTTAAGGAATAGTTTGCAAGAGTATTCTCACCCCATTCTTTTTTTAAAAAAAAAAATGTTGTGATACAATTTATTTTGGCAGAGAAATGATACTTGTGAAGTTGGGCTATCATTCTCTTAATCCCAACTGCTCTAGGCTGGAAACTGCTCTAGGCCTGGAAAAAGGATGCCATTCTTACTGGTGCTTTGTGTCTCAGAATGGTTGGGTTGGCTCCAGATCCAGGTTGATCTGGATTTCAATGCAATTTCAATGCAGTAAATAAATAAAACCAACCTCAAACTATTTGGTGAATGATAAAATAATGTGATCCGGTAAAGATAAAATTATACTTTCTAAGATTACTGTAGCTCTTTCTAAAGATGATGAATTTTGGCTCTTACTAGAATCACAATTTTGCAGTTTGTGAACATTAATCCCTGTCCTAGAAAAAGGTCTGTCAGATATGAATTATGGATGCATGAGAGAAGCTCTTGTCAGTTTAAAGATTTCTTGAGGTAATTCTCTTGTGGAGAGCTTTAATGAATTCATGAGCCCCAGTTTAGGTTCTTTACTAGATTAAAGTAGTGTGTTTGAGCAGATGGCTGTGTCACATGCCGTTTATATATAAGTTGCTTGGAGATATTCAATATGGCTATATTTAGCTTGCATAAAATGTTGTACCTAATCCCTATCCTCCTGCTTGTCAAATAACTGTTCTAGCAGCTCCATGAAGGCTTAGATTTGGCTGTGCTTGAGCAAAGGAAAAGAGGGGAAAACCACACAAGTAAAGAGGTTAAACTAAAAATATCTAAGTACTTGTTAAGAGAGCAGGTCTGCCTCAAGAGTATTCGTCCATCTGAAAGCAGTCGGTTTATAGAAGCTGTTTAAAAGGAACCAGAGTAACATTTCCAATATCTGTATTCAACCTAAAATCCACTCCTTCAGTTCAGGAGGGGACAGGGTAAGATGTTAGCCAAGTGCTTATTAGATGCTGCTATCACCACTGACATAACCTCCTGTATGAGCAATTGCAGAAATTTTGGTGGGAGAGTGGGAACGATATTTTAAATAACAAAAATATGTTAGCTTGACTCTGCTGTTCAGTTTTAAAAACACAATGCATAGAGAGCCTTGGTGGCGCAGCAGACTAAAGCACTGTTAAGTAACACCAGCTGCCTGCAGTTACTGCAAGTTCAAATCTCACCAGGCTCAAGGTTGACTGAGCCTTCCATCCTTTCGAGGTAGGTAAAATGAGGACCCAGATTGTGGGGGCAATAAGCTGACTTTGTATAAAGAAGAACACTGCTTGGGGGCCCCCGAAAGCCCTACTAAGCAGGTATATACAAAAGTATGAAGGCTATTGCTTATCGCATTGTAAGCCGCCCTGAGTCTCCAGAAAAGGGCGGCATATAAATCGAACCAATAAATAAATAAATAAATAAATAGTTCTAGGTACCAATTCTTAAGTGCCCTGCAGATGGATATTTTAAACTTTCCCTTCCTTTTTTATTATAACATACATATTATACATAAAAATATATTTAAGGAAACAAAATAAATAGTTTCATAAACTATAAGAGAGAAATAGACATTAATTAAATAATAAAATATCAATAAATAATTATAATATTTAAAATCTTATCAATCTTATTCTTTTTTCTTACGTTGAAGAAAAAAAGAATAGGACCTTCAATGCCTCTTCATTTAAAAGCTTACATTACTTTGATTTTATCCACATTGTTATATTATTTTTCTTGTTCTTTCAGTATGATGTCTGGGAAGAGATATGCAACTATGTCTTTATTTGTAAATAGGGTTCTTTAACTAATGAAATTGAAAAGATCCAAACCCCACAAAACTCTTATTTGGTTTATGTGGGTTTATTTTTTCATTCCTGCATGGTTTTCTGTCATTCTCCCTATATTTTATTCTTCATTTTTGTACATTATTGTATATTGTATTGTATTTTCCCATTTCTTCTTTTCATTTGTGAACCATCCAAAGTTGTTAGGCAACATATATATTTAAGTACTGTATTTTTTGCACTATAAGATGCACCGGACCATAAGATGCACATTAGCTTTAGAGGAGGAAAACAAGAAAAAAAATCTGCCTCTACCTCCCAGCATCCATCCGGTATTCATCTGGCTAGTGTCCTAATAGCGAACAGTCTAGTCAGCTTCAGCACGTTATCGCGGTCCCAGCATGTGGCTTATCAGTTGACCACCAGTCAACTGAGCTGAGCTGCCTCCACTGCCGGGGAATGCTAGAGCCTTTGCTGCCGAGCAGCTGATCAGCAGTTGGATTGGCCTCCTGGAATACCACCAATCAGCTGTTCTAGGCGGCAGGGATTGCTACCACCTATTGCTGGCAATTGCCAGCAATCCCTGCCACTAGAACGGCTGATCGGTGGTATTCCGGGAGGCCAATCCAACTGCTGATCAGCAGCGAAGGCTCCTGCATTCCGCAGCAGTGGCGAATAGCAACAGCGGTAACACGGCAGTGAGAGCCACACCAACCCCCCTCCCCCCCACTGCAATATTCGCTTTACAAGACGTACAGATATTTCCACCCACTTTTTGGGGGGGGGAGTGCATCTTATACTGCAAAAAATGTGGTAAATAAATTATTCTTTCAAGACTTACACCATTGTGGCCTTCCACAAAACATAATTCAAGGAACACTACTCTGATATAGACAACTTCATGCTTTCCCTGTATTATGCACAGGGGATTTAGTTTCCATTTCTGTTCACCTCTGGTGAGATCTATGAAGAGAGACTGACCATCTTTTCAGCTATCACATCATTGATGTGGAACTTTTCCAAGGTCTGCCAAAATCTTCCATGTCCTAAAACCTTATTTATTCAATAAAATTTCTGCCCCACTCTAAGGCAGTGCAGTGGCTCAGCGATTAAGACACTGGACTTGTCAACTGGAAAGCAGGCAGCCCACGTTCAAGACCGACTGTGTGACGGGGTGAGTTCCCGTCCTTCCCCCAGTTCTTGCCAATCTAGCAATTCAAAAGCATGCAAATGTGAGTAGATGAATAGGTTCCAGTTCAATGGGAAGGGACAGCATTCCATGATGTCATGCTGGCCACATGACCACAAAATTGTTTTTGGACAGCGCTGCCTCATTGGCCTTGAAACTGAGATGAGCACCACTTCCTATAGTTGGCAACAACTAGCAGAGTAAAATCCACAGGGACTCCTTTACCTTGTTTACCATCTCAGCTTCATGACTGGGCAGTTTACACTAAAAAATAAAGTAATAACATAAATAATAAATACTGTTTATTTGAAAAGCATTTGGACAATGAAATTGTAATCTACGTACAGTAGCTTTTCTCTATTTTGGTGTGCTTTGGTACTATTTATAATTTATGTTTTTCATTTGAGCCTTATTTTATGATCTCAGCTTTTATTTTGGAGACAGGGTATATAGAATAGTCAATAGGAGCATTGAATATAATCATATATGGTACACTCAGAATCAAGTATATCATTTTTATATTAAAACATTTCAAATTTTCTCTATCTCTTAATTGCATGCCCTTCTTTGCAGTAAAGAGACTGTGTTTCTCTGTTTATTTTAAGATACTGCTATGAGGATACTTGTTAGCAATGACTGATGTGGAATCTACATATGCAGATTTCATTGCTTCAGGAAGAACTGGAAGAAGAAATGCTCTTCATGATATACTTGTATCTTCAACAAGTGGGAATTCTAGTGAACTATCCCTGAAATTATCTGAACTTGATATAAACAAAACTGGTAAGTATCCATATTTTAGCAAAGAGGAATCATTCTTGAAAGCAGTGTATTAGTTTTGATATCTATGCACTATTAAATTTATACTTGGCATACACTCACACGCATGCACATATTCATACACACACACGCTGTATATATTGATCAAGTATAATTTTTGTGTGTGTATGTGTATGCGTCTCTGTGTGTGTATAAATGTTTTATGTATGTGTGTTGTTTATACTATACACACACACACACACAAGCTAAGAAATGATAAAACGTTTGTTGTACCTATGATCTATCAGTTAAATCCTCAGGAACCCCTTTGTTTCTACAGTCATAGAGAAAGAGGAAGGATAAAATATTTACAAGGGTTTGTTAAGCCTATTACATTAGTGGTAAGTCTTGGTTGATATGAAGGGTCACAAGCTATTCAGGCTAAAATTAGAGAAAATATGATTACGATGAATTTTTAAAATATGCATTTTCAGGAGATGAAGTGATGCAGTGTTTCCCAGTTGTTATGAGAACAGCTTAGCCGATATTTCCAGAACAGGGAAGTAAGTATCTCATACAGAGTAGGTAGAGTTCATGGCCATAGTAGAGATCATAGGCCAATTTATTTATAAGATACCAGTAAGTAGGGTCAAGAGGCAATGATCTTAAGCCAAGATTAATTCAGGACACAATTTAATAGTTGTGGTAGTTAAATTCTTCCTACATAGAATTCTGCTAAGACCCTGTCTTATATTTTTTTGAACTCTGAAATTAGCCTTATTGCCATGCGCTCAAAAGCCCGATTGGGCTTATTATCAGGGGATGTCTTATTTTGGGGAAAACAGTGTATATATGTATGTATGTATGAATGTATTTATATTTGTACACACACACACACACACACACACACACACACACACATTTAGCTATTTTAAGAAAGGCAAGAACAGTGGTATAGATCTTAGTCTTATCCCCTTCGTAACTCAAGGTCACCATTAGGCTAACTAATATGCTGAGGTATATGCCATAATTATGAAATGTGGGAGAATGAATATAAAAAACCATTACATACATACTATATCATACATTGTTTTATGTCTATTATTAAATTTGTTCCTCTGAAATACTAAAATTAGTTTTTGTAGATAGAAAGTTAAGAATGGCACATTCTTTGGCTATAGAGTGCTATCCAGTCACTTCTAACATAATGAATTAAGCCCCATCTAAAGTCTTCTGCAGCATTTTTGCATTACTTAAGTGGCAGTCTGCCTTTATATTTTGAATCTCATTTTCTTCATTATATATAACTTAGGTAATTAGTTAGTGTTGCTTAAAACCAACCCAGACCTCTGTATCTGCCAGATATGAACACAGTTGAATATGCAAATTTCAGTTGCATTGTTCGTGCTATTTTTACTAAAAATTGCCTTTGTTTCTTATAGAAGGGGAAGAAGATGCACAAAGAAACCCCACCGAACAAACTGGGGAAGCCCAGGGGGAAGCAGCAAAAGAAGAAGGCTGATGTTTTAGGTTGACTGACAGTGACAACTGTAGAAATATTTTCCAACTGCAAAAGCCTGTTGGAAAAAAGCCTGCATCTTGTGAGCAAGTCACTTGAACAAAAAGTAGATTTAAAATGGACGAATCTCGTTACCAGAACCTGTACAATGCAGTACAAAAAAGAGGGAATAAAGGTGGTAACAGTAGACAGAACTTTTTCCACCGTTGTTAGCAATGGTTGAGACCTGGTTACTGATCAGGAGACTTTGTTGAGAGATGGATCTCATAACAAATGCCCACATTGAAATACAAATGATGTAGATCTTGTAGCAAAAATAGCATTCAGCTGAACAGAAGCTTGAATTGGATTGTATCACAATGGCTTCAGTGATCTTCTGAAATTGTCTGGCTAGAGGATTCACCTATTTAAAAAATCACTTGTAAAGGAAGCACTGTTTGTTTTTAAAGAACTCTGCTTTTCTGTTTTCAGCCACATTACTTAACAATGTTTTATATTGTACAATTTAGATGCTCCACACTGCCCTTTCTTGAAATGCTCATGAAAGCAACTGTGACTATGAATTTTTCTACAACTTGTTTGAAAGGGCTAGCTACGGTTTTCTTTTTCTTGTTTTCTGCACCATGTGTTGTGTGCACATGATCATCAAATCACTTGCTAAACTGATGAAATTGCTCATTTAGTTATGAATCGGCATTCTTTCATTTTCAAGATAAACTTTTAACATAAGTAATGTACAGTCAGGTGTGTCTTGTGTTTTCTCAGTACAGTTCTTTGCTTGTGGGTAGTTGGAAATCCAAGAATCTTTCATTCTTTAAGGAGTATTTTTGTTGTTCAGACAACTATGTAACTGCTAAAGCATAAGAGTAAGCACAGTACATATTAAAGGATATGAGCTCATAGCAGGTGAGAGATAAAATCTCCAACACTTTAGTAAAGACCTACTTCCTAAAATGAAGAAGAATTTATTATAGCTTTTAGAATTGGAGTCTTCTCACTTTTCAATCAATATTAAAGTAAAAAGTTATTTTGTTGTGGCAATCAAATGGATATCAATCACAATTTGTCCCAAGTCCTAATGTTTGTTTCTTTATTTATATTTCAACTTTATTTCAAATGCCATGCACTTTTCAAATACTTGTAATTTTATTAAACTATTAGTGTAACTTTGCTTTTTAGTAAATCTAAACATTGGTTAATGAAACATACATTACCGTTGTGACTATGGTTGTTGTTTTTACAATATTACTATTTTACGGTTGTCACATGGACATTATTGGTGTGAGGTCTGTAAATACTTTAATTGGCATTGAATTTGGTAATTGGTGTTAATAAATAACAACCAGCAGAATATTTATGACTCATTAGCATAGTTTGCTTCTCTATGCCTTTGCTTGTATAGACGATCATTAGTTATATACATGTTTTGAGTGAAGAACCTTCCACTTTCAATCAAATGTTGACTTGAGGTTTCCATTGAGATGATCTTCCATCATTTAATTTTAGCTCTTGACAGTGTGCCTGACTTCTACAGCAAGAACTGTATATCTAATCCATCTAACACACTTCAGGAGCTCAGGAATATAGCCAAAACTGTTTCACCAGTTTTGTATCTTCTAGGACTCATTGGAGATACTGTATGTCATGCAGGGATGGGTCCAGTGGTGGGTTTCTACCAGTTCGCCCCGATTCGGGTGAACAAATAGCGGCGATGCCAGGAGGCTCCGCCCACCCACCTGGATGTCATCATGGACGTTCTGCGCATGCGCAGAAGCACTACAAGCGAAGCATGTGCGCACTCCTGATTCTGAACCAGTAGCGAAGGTAAATGGAACCCACTACTGGATGGATCACTATTGAGAAACAGTGCATACCTGTCACTTTTATGCTTAAGAAGTATGCTCAGTGAGCCACTCTTAACATATCTATGACACCTGTTAAAGCGGTCTTCTCAATAGTTCAATTCCCAGAATTCTCAGCTAGTTTGGCAACAGGCAGCCTCCAGTTCCTCCAGGGAATAAGTTAAGCATGATAGTCTTTCTAATTACACAGTATGTGTATCTCCTCAACAGACCTTACAGTCTCAATTTCATCCTGAATAGCACTTTTCCCCTAACAAGATACACCATGCTAAGTGAGAGGATAATAAAGTAAAAAATGGAATGAGAGATGTCAAATGACATGGAAAAAAGGAAAGAATCAAGCATTTTAAAAGTTATCAAAAGTTATTTATAAAAATAGTAAAGGTGGGGTAAATATCTAATAGATAAAAAAATAAAATGCAGGATTTGAAAAACAATTCCTCACCACTGCCTAAATTTAAAATGCAGAAGTCCTGGTTTCAGTAACTAATTAACTTTGTTTTATTTTCTCTTTATTGCTTAGAAAATAGAATTTTCTTTTCAGGTTTTACCTGAATAGTTGGGGGTTTTGATCTGCTTTCCACCAGAAATTATCGGCATCCTTTTCTCATAAAAATGTATGAACTGAACCTCTTCAGCCATCTGTTCCAGCATTCTGTGTTATTAAGTGGCCAACTTAGTAACTACATGCATTTTCAAAACTCACAAGACTAGGATGAAATACCTTCTTCATGTCATTTATTTATTTATTTATTTATTTATTTATTTATTTATTTTATTAAATTTCTATACCGCCCTTCTCCCGAAGGACTCAGGGCGGTGTACAGCCAGAAATAAAACCATGACAATATAAAAATTAAAAGCAATTTAAAACAAATAAATTGCTCAAAAACTCTAATAAAACAACCCATTAAAATAGTAAAATATTATTATTATTTAGGCCAGCCCTGCTTGTTGGAATAATGTTTTTAGGGCACGACGAAAGGTCCAGTAACTAGTATTTTTCATGAACATTTCCAGGCATCTTTAAAATCATGCAAGTTGCTAGCAATATATACAATTTAACTATGAGCTATGTGAAAAAATCTTTTCCTCTGCTGGTCCCCTGCATTCTAGTTTAATATACAACCTCAAGTACTAGAATTATGAGAAAGGAAGAAAAACTTGAATATTCATTTCATGTATGGTTTTATATAGGTCTATAATTTAGGACACCTTGGAGGTAATCAAAGAGGCCTGGTGGTTAGAATGCTGTACTGCAGGCTAACTCTGCCCACAGTCTGGAGTTCAATCCTGAAGAGGCTCAGCCTTCTGTCCTTCCAAGGTCAGTAAAATGAGGAGCCAGATTGTTGGGGGCAATATGCTGACACCATAAGCTGCTCATAGTGCTATATAAGTCTTAAGTTCTATGGCTATCAGATATCCTGCTGTGCATACAATTAGATGCAGGTCCTGTAATTAAAGCTGACAATTTTGAGAACAAGTGCTTCTCATTCTGTTACCTGACAGCATCTCTCTCTTCCTGATTTTATCTCAGAACTAGTGTTGAGGTTTCCAGTCAGATGGTCTTGAGGGATTTAAATCCCCATGCATGGAGGCAAAATTTCTCTAAGTGTGTTATAAGTCCAAATCTGAGGATAGTTGTAATTGGGGTATCATGTATGCAAAGCAGAATTCTGTGAGAACTCAGATCTGCTTTGCCTAGACAAGCTGTCTAGCAAGAACAGAACTAGGTTCTTATATGACTCATCTTTGCATGCATAAAGCTGAAGTCCAGAAGACACTGGCAGTCACTTTTTTTTTTTTAATTTGATTTATATGCCGCCCTTCTCCGGAGACTCAGGGTGGCTTACAATGCGTTAAGCAATAGCCTTCATACTTTTGTATATTTATACAAAGTCAGCTTATTGCCCCCACAAACTGGGTCCTCATTTAACCTACCTTAGAAAGGATGGAAGGCTGAGTCAACCTTGAGCCTGGTAAGATTCGAACCTGCAGAAATTGCAGGCAGCTGTGTTAATAACAGGGTGCATTAAACCACTGTACTACCAAGGCTCCTTGCCCCACTTGTTTGGCATACAGGAGTTGCAAGGATGGGACCTCTCTTATATGGCAGCCACCAACTAATTGACAGCAAACACATCAAATCAGTAGGGAATGGGAACAGTTGTTTTGCTATCGAGAGCAGAAAGTATATCCTCAATTGGCTCAACTTGCAAAATCAAAGCCCTGTAAGAATTCTTGTTTTGCACCTGCAAGTTTTTTACTGTGTTCTCAGAAGGTAACAGGACAAGTCCTGAAAGAGTTCCAACTCTGTATACATAAATGGGATAACTGATAATGAAGAACCCATTTAATGTTAAAACAAATGGCACATTCACTGCTACCAAGGTAGAGCTTGTTAGATTTATTCATGAAGGGAAGGGATTCATAAATGTATTTACCATTTTAGAGGATCATGAAATTACAAGGTTTGCCAATGTTGTGTTAAGTGTGCTATAGAAATCCTACCATCCACAGAGAGGTTATACTGAATAAATTTGCAATTGTAAGAAAAAAGATGAAGTTCGGAGATGCTGTCCTTGTTGGAATACCCACAGTGCCAAAAATGTGTTGAGCAGAAATGCTAGCCAGTCATACCACAGTTTTGGACATGATCTTAGGACTTTGTTAGCAAAGCTACAAGTAATGTACAGAAATCCAATTACAGACTGATTGCAAATTCTAAATCTGCAACATATATAAATTTCTAGCAATATTTCCTTTATTACCAAAGGACATCAGTGACATCAAAACAGGATGGGAGTCTTTGACAAACATGTAAAAAACATATCACATTTCAAGTTACCTTAAATGATAACTCTAACTTCCTCAATCTGGTTTATGCTTTCAGTATTTTGGAAAGAAAGAAAAAGATTTCAATTGTCTTGTTTAAACCTGAAACAAAAATATTTATCCCTGCCCTCTTATTCAGGCTCCAGATCATATAAAGAAAATACATATCAGGAAAAACATGACAGTGACAGATGTGACTGAATTAATTTAACATTTGTTAAGCCATGAATAAGTTACAATTGCTGGCTTTGCACACAATATGACACTCAAAATCAAATGTTACATAATCTTAATTAAGATAAATACATTTTAGATAATATGGGAATCCAGCCTATGTGTAGGAGGTATACTTTGTCAGCACTGAGCAACAGGTTGGGGACAAAAAGCATTCCCATACATCATTCTGGAGCTGCAGCATTTTCCTCAAACTTGAAAGGGAACATTGAAGAAATTAATTTCCAATTTTCTTCAAATAACTAATTTTTACTACGAAACTATGAACAAAGGAAAATGTTCTAAAGCCTGTACATCCCCTAGCAGAAGTATGCAATCTAAACAGTGGTGGGTTGCCCCTGGTTCAGACCGGTTCTATAGAACCGGTAGTAAAACCGGCAGGAGGCTCCGCCCACTGACCCTGACATCATCAGAAGCAATATGCGCAGAAGCAAGGTGCACGTGAAACAAGCGCATGCGCGCGATCCCGTTGCGAACCGGTAGTAAAGGTAAGTAGAACCCACCCCTGAATCTAAGCCATTCTAGATATTTTTGACAGCTCTATATCTGGCCATGAACTTGTGGGTTATGGTATTTGTATTCCAAAATTTCTGCAAAACATCAAATTCTTCCTCTATTCTTTAACATAATCAAGTAACACCTAACCCAATTAAATTACAAGCAGTTGTACAATAGACCAGGGATCCCCAACCCCTGATGGCTATGGAAGCAGCTCCATTTGCAACCACAGCAGACAGGTGAGCGTGCAGGTGTACATTAGGCACCACATCATGTGATCACCACTTGCAACCTCTGCCTGCGGCCCTGTGACTTTGCTTCTTGGAAGCTAGCAGTAAAGGTAATAGCAAATGGGAATCAGAATTATTTTTCAGAGCCAGCAGAGGGAGTTCTAACACTATATTTTCATCATCATAAATTATTTTTAAAAACAATGATTCTAGAAAAACATCTTAATGACAAATGTGTTTTTGTGATTTAATTAGAATTTACTTATTTGTTCATAATCTTGCATATCTGATGAAGCACTGAACCTTTGACTATGTCATTGTGGCTATAATGTTCATAGCAAATATTTGTTCATGATTAATAGTTTACTTAAACATACTTACATATGTACATATTCATTTATTTTATTTCACATTTTACTGTATTAGAATTCCTTAATTAAAAATGGTATTTGCATCGTGTATATTTTTTCTAATTTTCAAAATGTTTCTTTTCCCTGCGAAACATGATTCTGTTTTTGAACATTTAAATACGGTGCTTTAAAATTTCTTGCCAATGTTTTTTTAGTGATATTTACAAGATTACTATACCAGGCAAAGTGACAGAGAATGTTTCCTTTGAAACAAAATCCCAAAACAGAAATTTTTTCGTTATGTATTTCCTGGGATTTAACCAAAAAGTGGCAAAAGAAAGGCCAGAGATGACTGTACAGACTAAACAGACTATACAGCAGACTAAACCTTCACAAATACTGACTCCCTCACTACCAGTTTTAAGAATAAGTACAAGAATTGAATCTCCCCCTTGGGAAAAGCTCATCAGTTTTGATATTCTACTAACTATATCAACTACTAACTCTTTAATGTCAAAAATGGCAATGCTGCCATTTATCTACAACACTGTTTTTTACTAATCTTAGAAATAACAAATGTCTCTATCACTGATGTAAATTAATGGTTTAACCTTGAACATACGTTATGAAGAAATTCAGCTTCAAGTAACAGTATCCATTCATCCACATCATTCTGCTATATCTTATCTACTGTAAGTACATATTCCATTTTTCCCAATTCAAGAAGAAAAGCTCCCACATCCAAGTATGTCAATAGGCCTGGTCTTTTAAGCTCTTTTTTTTTAAAGTTGGTAGTTGAATACAACTTATATAATCATTAAAATGCTATTTATTGACAGAGGACAATAAAACACAAGGAACAGAGAAAGAATGATTTTTGATGACTGGTAGGCAGGTCATTGGATAAGCCATGCAGAGAATAAGGGAAGAGAGGTGAGGCTTACCCATTTTACTCTGCAAGACCTCTCTAGGTTTGTTTCAGCTTCAATTTGGCTCAAGAATAAAATTTAAAGAAATTGCCCTTTATTTTTATTCCAAAAATACGCTTCACTGAATCTATAAAACGTTCTGCCTGTGTCCAGTTGTCTCTGCCTATTCCATTATCTCTTGACTAGGTGGACACATTTCAGTTCCCCTCAGTTAAACAGTGCCAACTTGTAGGACTGCAGAAATGTGCCTATTACTACTGCTGCCCTCCAAAATAGCATTCCCCCAGGCCCATTCAGCCCCATCCCTCCTCTGGTTTTAGAAAGGCATTGAAAATTTGCCTTTTAAAAGCAGGCCATAGACCCAAGCGATTCTATGACCACTGCTGAGTGATGAATGACGAGGGATGTTGTAAACTATATATTTTTGTACTGTACTTCCCATGGGTGAAAATGCTGTTCAACTTTTTTGCATCTTGGTTGTTTTTACTGAGCTGCTAATGCAGGAGCGTCCAGCTTTGAAGACTTGTGGACTTCCATTCCCAGAATTCTCCAGTCAGCCATGTTGCTTGGGGAATTCTGGGAGTTGAAGTTCCCAAGTCACAAAAGATGTCAAGGTTGGAGAACCCTGCTCTAATGTGGCCAGCTTTACTTCATCTGATCTGATATTCATTCACGTCCCATTAGACCAGTGTTTCCCAACCTTGGTAGCTTGAAGATGGGTGGACTTCAACTCCCAGAATCCCCCAGCCAGCGCTGGCTGGGGGATTCTATGAGTTGAAGTCCACCCATCTTCAAGCTACCAAGGTTGAGAAACACTGCTCTAGAGTAACGTTGCTCATCTTTGGCAGCCTAAAGATGTGTGGGCTTAATTTCCAGAATTTCCCAGACAGCAATGGTGGCTGGAGAATTCTGGGTGTCGACGTCCACACTTCTTAAATTTGTCAAGATTGTGAAACACTGTATTATATGAATACAGTCATTTCATTTCATTTTCATTTCATTTATTGGATTTATATACCGCCCTATTCCTGAAGAACTCAGGGCGGTGAACAGCCACAGAATAAAACACATAAAATTTAAAAACAGAATAAAACCGAATTAAACAATTTGACCGAGACAAATTTAAAACACCCAATAATTTTAAAAACAAATTAAAATTTACATTTTAAAGGGGAAAGATTTAGGCCAGGCCAGCTTGATGGAATAAAAAAGTCTTGAGAGCGCGACGGAAGGTGCGCAGATCCGGGATCCTCCATATCTCCAGGGGGAGCTCATTCCAGATTGTAGGTGCCCCCAAAGAGAAGGCTGTCACTGCGTTATTTCCCAGCTGAGCTTCATTATTTTTGGACTAATAGACTTACTGTAGTTTGCCAAGTTCCTTATCAGTATTTTACTACGCATGTCTGCATTCCTTCACTTGCTTCACACACTCTTCCCTTTGTTCTCATGCCACGGGAGTGCCGGTTGCTGAAAGGCAGCTGGCCCGATTTATTTTCAAAAATGTAGCAATTACTTTTCTTAGTTAGTGAGGTGTTTTATTTTCTTTATAACAAATAAATGAGTTTTATTAGAAACTTTTCTTTGCGTTTCTTTTCAGAATATTGCAACAAGGAGGAGCCACGATCCATCTCCTCTAATTAAACCAGGGTGATTTTTCCCGAGCCAAACATGGGATTAATAAATGCCGACAAAGGCTCTCCCCCTGGGGGCCGCCAGTCAACATTGTTTGGCTGACGGCACCCGGAGGAGTCCCTCTCTATGAGAGCGTACCGGCCGGTGGGAGGCTATTGGTGGTAGCAGGCAGTCCCGTAAATAACCAGGTCCAAAGCCATCCATGGATTTAAAATGTTTTTTCTTGTCAATATATATTTATAAAACGTTTGGGAAGGATGGGGAAGAAGCAGGTAGCATTTCAGACTGCAGACCTGCTGATATGTTTGTTCTCCATCAATAAGCCAATTTGGTCTAATGCAGTGTTTCTCAACCTTGGTAGCTTGAAGATGGGTGGACTTCAATTCCCAGAAACCCCCAGCCAGCGCTGCTGGCTGGGGGATTCTGGGAGTTGAAGTCCACCCATCTTCAAGCTACCAAGGTTGAGAAACACTGCATTAGACATTATTAGGAAATCAAAAAAAGGCACTCCTGCCGTCACCAGGACTCCCACCACGCCAACAACTACTGTGTGAATCCTCCCCTCCCTTGCTGGCAAAGCAAAAAAAATGTCTTGTATTTCTATGCAAAAGAAAAATATTCTGCCAGAAGGGCAGGGGAAAAAGAAAAAGTTTTCTCCTTGGGAAATAGGCCCAATTAAAGGTATCGGAAGCAGAAAAACGCCCAGGCATAGAAATTAAGACACCGAAAAGCCCGCCCTTTCCATGCCAGGGCGGCGACCGCGCAGAAGAAAGAAACCGCGGCTAACTCCGACGGAGCCACAGCCGCAGCCTAGTCCGGCCCATCCGCACTGCGTGCCGAGGCGCGCCGCCCTCCACTCCCCCCTCCTTCTGCTGGGAAACCAATCGACGCCGGGGATGTTAGAGGCTGGGAGGTGGCCGTGTTGCTACAGCAGCGGCCGGGAGCCCGAGACAGGCAGGGAGCGCCATGGAAGAACTGGAGGGTAAGGGCGGGGACTGCGAGAAGAGCCGCGGACCCTTTGCTCCTCCAGGCTGGCGGGAAGAGAGAGAGAGAGACGCCAGGCCCCGGAGAGGGTGGGGGGGGGCAAAGGGTAGAAGGCGGGAGGTCACCTCTTAATGCCGAAGTTTCCCCTCCCGGAAGGCGGGAGGAGACTCTTTGCTCCCGGGAAGGAGCCGAGGGGGAAAGACGGGGGTCTCCCGAAGGGTTTGCATCTTCTCCCCCACCCCACCCCATTCCCAGCCAAGGCGCGTCTCCTTCCCGTTAGTTACTGGGCGTGTCGGGGCTGGCTGGCTGGCTGACTGTCTATTCCAGCCGCTGCCCGCATCCCTCCTGCGGTAGCTCGGTTAATGCCGGGGCGTTTGGGACCCCTGCGGTCATTTTGGAGGAGGGATGGCTGGTGAGTTCCAAAACGGGCCTTTCTGCCAGCCAATGTCATTCAGCCCGCATCTTTTTTTCTGCGAGTCGGTCACGCCGAGGTCAGGTTTTGAACTCATTAGATGATAAAAGCAGTTTGTTAGCTACTGCGCTTGGGGCACCCAGGTAGTCACTTGGGGGAGGGGCTGAAAATGGTGAGTGGGTACCTGTAAATGCGCTTTCTTCTTTTTTTTTCTTTTCCCTGCCTATTTGTAATGTATTTTCAGAAGTGGTGATAGGGAAAGTTGGGGCTAGCATGCATCATATGATGAATATTAGCATGGAAATCCTGAGAGAACTGTTTTCAATGTAAGTATGTATTAGAGCCAGTTGAGGGTTTGTATTCAATTAGGGATGCAAAAGAGGGGGAAAAAAGGGGGGGGATTTTATTGTCATTTGTGGAAAAGGCCTACTAAACCGTTTACTCTTGGAAAGAGCCCTTTGTTAGTTTTGAAAACCTACCCTGTAGTGGAATTGGGTTTGGCAAAGCTTTCTTGCCACATTTAGTCAACAGAATCCTCATTTAATCTAGCCGAGGATGATGACAGCACTATTTAAAGTGTGTTGGCATCTCTGTCGTTCTTTGTGTGGGATTGCCTTGAATTGATTTTCGGCCTCTTTTATTTCATAAATCAAAATCAGCGATGCTTTTCTTATTAATTACGTTTTTAATTTTATATGTAGTGCAAAAGAAAGTGTTTTTTATTAAGAAAAAGAGCAGTCTGTATAAACTTCTTTTAAATTGATGCGCTGAATACAAACTGAAAAACTAGCTGTTATTTTGGTACACAGGATTACTTTAGGTAAATTTGAAAATATGTGAAGATTTATGCATATAGCTAGTTATTTGAGCAATGAATCCCAAATGTATACCTTCAATCTAAGTGTGTGTGGATGTTAAAATATTTATACTAAAAGCAAAAATGCATGTTTTATGAATCTAACAAATTTTACATTGATTCAATATCAGAGAATAAAATCTAATTAACAGTATTTCTGGGCTTTCAGCTGTTTTTTTAATGTATTGAGTTTGACAAGGAAAAGGAATGTTAAACTGATCTCACTATGGCATCACACCAGGTATATCTAACAATGCTGTAAGCCTATGAATTTGATTTGGGACTAAATTAATCCCATTTTAATTGTCTGCTCATCAATTCTCTTCAGAACTGTTGATATTAACTGTATGCCAATTTAGGTAAATTAGTTGATTAGCAGTGCGCCTCTATTCATCTTCTGATGCCATCTAGATGTTTTGTGCTGTGCTTCAATTCTATTAACTGCCCAGCATGGCTGATGGCAATAGAATGTATGAATTGTGTTACAAAACAATTTTTGTAATATGTTCACATTCCTTGGTGAAATTAGTGTTGTGATTGTGAAGAATATATATAATAGTGATTGCAGGAGAAGAAACAGTAAGCTGAGCTTGGGTTCTGTATAATTTTAAATTTTGGTGCCCTGGGTGACCATGGGTGTCATGGAATATTGCAGTCTAGGGCCTTTATCTGCTGCTGTGGCAGAGGACAGAATAAGAAGACAGGTGAGGAAGAAAAGAAGATAGCATTAAACAGGATGGATAAATAGAGTGGGCAGAAGCAAACCCAAGGGATCAGGGAAGCCTATCCAAAAGAGTAGCTACTTTATGACAGCTAAAGCAACTGGCCAGAGAATAGAATAGTTTGTCTATTATATTCTAAGCTTGTCTAGGAAAGCCATTGGCATGGTCTAACAGGACACAGCTTTGTATATGGAGGCCTGATGTCTTGTGCACTCAAAAGATGTGTCACCTTTGAGTGTACTTTCTCCTATTTTGATTGGAAAATTGTTAAAACCATGAGTTTGTCAACTGTTGAAACCATGCATGAATCCCAGCACTAAAAGGAGGATAGTTTCCTGCTTCCTCCCATTGTGACGCCTATCATAACTTAACCTTTGGTGTCTTTGTGAAGTAAAAGTCAGTATTAATGAAATTTTAGATTTCTAATATTTAAAAATGGAAAAGTCTGAATGTATATTAGAACAGTTGAAGATGACCAAACTATCATAAGTACTATTAAAATAAACCTAAGTCAAGAACATAGGATGAATGTTAAGTATTTTTGGTTTTAAAATTGTTTTTATTACTGGACAAGAATAGATTCTAGTGTGATGTTTTCAGAAAAACCTGTCTACAAAGAGTACGGAGCCAAACAAGCCAAACAAACCTCAAGATACCATACTTGAATCTAACTGTTTTTGTATATAATAGTGCTCAATGCACAAAGCCCCCCATTTGAAAAACTTTTATTTCCCCCCCCCCCAATCAATTATACCCATATTGTTTGTTTATTTTTTTACAGAGTTTTGGTCTAACTTCTCTGTCAAATTTTATCCTGTGGATTATACAGATATTTATACAGAAACGAAAGAAAGTATTCACTGCCCAAAGTCACTGGTTTGAAATAAAGATCAAAGATGTTCATATGTGTTAGTAAGTTCTAAGGTAAATCATTTATTTAGATTTATTTAAAAGGATACTGATTCAGTTTAAGCTAAGTTATTCACTTAGGAACATTATTCAGATGCACAGATATAAAAATAGGGAAACCTAACTTGGCAGTAATATGCATATGTATAACCACTGTAACATGATAGCTTTAAAAAAGGCAATACAGTTCTATTTACTGTCAATAAAAGTATCATTTCTAAATTCTAGTATTAGTGCCACCCTATTGCCTTGAGTCAAATCACACTTTAAATATTATGTCAAGATCTGGGCTACATTTTAGAAAGGATTCAAACAGATTGGAATTAACTCAGAAAAGGGCAATAAAAATGATCAGTGAACTAAAAATTCATATTTTGAGGGAGAAAAATATTTATTTATTTTATTTATTTATTTATTTATATTGCCCCCTATTCGCCCATTGCGACTCAAGGCGGCTTACAGAATATAAAACCACATTTAAAACAATAAAATTAATAAAAAGAATCAAATTAATATAGTATAATATAATAAAATCACCCCCCCCCGCCCAGTGACAGCAGATCACACGAGCCATTTAATAGGCTCCATCCCACTTTGGGTCCCCCACGCCCGCTGGCAGAACCAGGCCTTACAGAAGACTATTAGAGTGGGGGCCATTCTAATCTCTGGGGGAATGATGTTCCAAAGAGAGGGAGCCACCATGGAGAAGGGCATTATTCTGGGTCCCACCAGATGTATATCCGTCAGGGATGGGACCCACAGCATTTCCTGCCTGCCTGCTCTGATGGGTCAGGTAGATGTGACCGGCAAGAGACGGTCCCTCAAATAACCTGGTCCCAAATTAAACAACTGACAAGAATAAAAAAGCCCTTTCCAACTATTTGAAGAATATGACACAGAAAAAGATCTGGTCCCTTCATACTAGAGTGCAAGACCAAATGATTTATTAATTTAAAATTTGTTATAAATACTCAACTCAAACGGACTCATAAAAATGATGGTCTTATACAACAGAAAAGTAGATACCGCTTACATATTAGAAAAACCTTTTAAAAGAAACCAAATTTAAACCATCTTTTCAACTTACTACGTTCCTTTTCAAGTTTCTTACTGATTGCATTTTTAAATATTTATTAAAATAATATTAGAATCTTTTTTTTAAACACAGAGCCTGCTAGAGAGCATGATGGACCTCTTTGCTGGATGTGTTCAAACAAGACAGACAACCATCTGTGAGAAAGCAATCCATTTGGATTGCTGCCTTAGGCACAACTTGGACTAAGTGGTCTAAATGGCCCATTCCAATTTGATGGTTCATTATAGCTTTTATTTCGGTTCTAGAATTAGATATAGATATATAGACTGTATGGAATAAGCACTAATACCCTGCACTTACATTTCTTTGAATGACATCCAATTATTTCTCAGAAAAACAATATTACATCTAATAAATGTTTTGATTAGTAAAAGGGAAACAATTTTCACAGATTTTTTTTTTTTTTGTTGGCAGCTTTTCTTCTCAATTTGCTCTAGAGGATTTTCCTATTCTGCTGACAGAAAGTCTACTAGGTCAAGTATCATTTAGCCAGAGAGAAACTCAACAAACACATGGAAATACTTCTATGTTATTTTAAAACCACATTATTTAATGAACCAAAATTGTAGTACAATAAAATGTGTGCTTTACATATTACTGAGTTAAAACAGCCACCAAAAATAAATGAAGGCAAATCACTATAATTTCCCTAAACCATTATAATATGGGCTCATCTAATACGTTGGCCCAAGGCCTGGGAGGACAGTAAGGATTGTATGGCCTCATAAAAGACCAACAGGGTCAAGACAATCTGAACATGGGTAGGACAAAGCAAAAAAAAAAATTCATTGAAGGAACCTGGAACATGCCTACCCTGACAGATTAAAAATAATCAGAAATAGACCCACAAATAACATGTCCCTGTGCCATGCAGAAATTTATAGATAGTAACCAGCACCTTGAATTAACACCTGGAAGCCTGCTGGGAGTCAGAACAGCTGACAAATTAGTGGTGTCACATGGTTCTGAACCAGTTACTGTATATCTACTACATAGTATTCAAGGAAAATCCTATGTATACACTTAGGAGTCCAAGCAAGGGGCAACCAAGGCATGATTGTGAGCAAGGTCTTTCTGGTTTGTACAGGGAGGCAGAGGTAATGATGAACGAATGTAATAGATAAAAGATGCTGTAAATGAAATCTCAGGTTCAGGAGAATAGTAAGCAAAGGGGGAAAAAATCATCTGAAATATAAGAGTAGATAAAAGGAGACTGGCAGAATATCGGGATCAATATCAACCCTTCAAAGTGTACCAGGTCAGGAAAACAGATGCTGCAAAGATTACTGGAACTTTATAGTAATGTATTGGGTATTCTGCCAGAATTTCTCTGTTTTCCCTTATACCAATAAGAATCAAGGCAGGATTATTTAAGCTTCTTTCTTACACTTACTCTCCTAGGATTACATTTTTTTACAGACCTTTTTATCCATTAACAGCCCTTGCAGTTCTCCGACTATACTCTGCCTTTCTCTACACAATCCAGGAATGGATGCAGTTGGTGTAGATTTCTACACCAGGGGTCACCAACCTTTTGGACCTCAGGGACCACTAAATTCATAATTTTAAATCCTGCGGACCACTAATATGATCTGGTTAATGACCGGCTGGGTGGGCATGGCTACGTGGTCATCTGACTGAGTGGGCATGGCCAACTCGATGTCACTCATGTTGAGGGGCGCCTCGATGGCCTCTACTCGCCCCTCCCCTCCCAGCCACTCCTCGCCTGCCTGCCCGGCCTCCTTAGGGCCCCAACAGGAAGCAGTTGTTGGAGCTAAGCAGCGACCACGAGAAAGAGTTGGCAAAACAGCAGGCTCAGTTCAAATTGGATCTGGCCGAAAAGGAGGCTCAGCAGAAGCACCTCACTGAGGACCACGAGCATAGGCTTTCCAAGCAGAGGGAAGACCTGTGGGAATGCAAGGCCACGAACCGGAATCTGGATGCTGAGGTGGTCAGCCACTTCCAGGCCATGATGCAGTCCCACTGGAACGAGGCTGTCCGGCTCTTCGCCACCAGTGGCGCTTCTCTCCAGCCTTCGCCCAAAGCCCCGCATCAGGAGGTTGAAGCAGACCTCAAGTCAGAATTTCTGCCCCCCTCCAATCCACACAAAAAGACCCTTAAGGGGGAGACTCTCTACAGCAACATAAACTTTCATTGCATATATCCGGCCCAAGGGCCATAGCTTGAGGACTCCTGATTTAGTACAATATAAAAAAATGCAAATAATTTTTCTGCGGACCACCAAAATTTTCTCATGGACCACCAGTTGGTGACCGCTGTTCTACACCATTCAGACACCTTTCAGGTTTACTCAAGGGGGGAGGGTCCCAATCTTCACACAAAGCTAATTGGGGTAGAAGGGACGGAAAAGGCAGACTATTACATGACTATTACCCTTATAATGCCGGATTCGTTTCATTATGAAATGTTCAGTCACATTAAGTAGGCAGACTTCCAGTATTGATTGTGTGCTTCTGAATAAAGTATGGCTCTGGATTCATATCACTTTTCCATATACTGATGGCTGCTAATGCTTTTTGGCCTGCCAATGTCATTGTATATATTTGCATTATGACTACATTGAGGGAATTAAAATGAGACCTTATGCAAGATTTCCAAAATTGTAAGAAATTTTGGTATTCATATGCAAAGACTTAAATCATTTATTACTTTGTGGTACCTATGACTGCCTGTGTTATATTTGTTAAAGGGCCAGTGTGACTTCTTGATCAGGATGGCTTGATTCAAATTTGAAGTTATATTTCCTCATTTAACTTTGAAGTTAAACATCCTGAAATTGGAATTTTTATCCAAATATGCAAAAAGTTATTAATTATGCCATTGATCTGGTATAGTTGAAGAAATAGAAGCCTTTCTTAGGTAATTAAGTGATCAGCAGGATATTTGAAAAGTGAAAGCTGTAAGAGAATTGTAGAAGTCATTTAAACCAGAGACCAGCACACCTTCATTGAAGTGCTACTAGAGGTAAAAACAAGTCTAAAAGGGAGAGATGTTACAGTCCCTCTTTTCAGATTTATACCAATTATAATACTGTATACATTTAATCATGGGGGTGCAATGGCTAGGTGGTTAAGGACACTGAGCTTGGCAGCTGGAAAGTTGACAGCCCTTGTTCGAGGCTCAAGCACCACTCAACAGTTGCTACCATTCATGCCCCAGCCCCTGCCCACCTAGCAGTTCAAAAGCAAGCAGATGCAAGTAGATTAATAGGTACCACTTCAGTGGGAAGGTAACAGCGTTCCATGTGCCTTTGGCATATAAACCATGCTGGCCACATGACCATGGAAAATGTCTTCAGACAACACTGGCTCCCTCAACCAAGAAACGGAGATGAGCAACATGACTGGACAGGGACATCTTTACGTTTACCTATGCACTTAATCAGTATAGCACACAGTTTAGGTTACGGCAGTATGTGTATTTTTGAGCTTAAGATGGTGAGGTAATGGGGTGAATACCTTAAGTTACTTGAGTTAAACAAAGAGGCCTTAGAATTTGTTTTGTTGAGCTGTTAGTTTTTCAAGTGGTCTTGCCTCTCCTCTTCTGAGTAAGCATTCTTTGTGTCATAATGTCTATGGCTGAGTATAAAGTTTATCTGCCACTGAGAATGTACATATAGAGATGCGTATGGATGAATGCCTTTGAGAAAGTGGAGGAGGGACAGGATTTACTTGCCTACCGGAACACCATTTTCCCTTTCAGTCAAATGTTTGTTGTGTCTAATTGATTTCTATCTGAGTTACTGCTTTATTTTCTTTGGAAAATATATTTAGATTAGTATCTTTTTAGTTTGCTCCTACAAACTCCAGTTCAACTCATAAAACTGAACTATTATAATAAGTTAGATGTCCCATTAAAAAGTTTAAATTTGTTCTAATCTATGGATATTTATTCTAATTTGACATTCATTTAGAACATTATCTACAGTTCTTTAAAAAATATGTTGAGTATTCTTTTTCGTGCTTCCATTTTTTCTGGAGGTGAGGAGGGTATTCTTAGATCTTTTAAGCCAAGAATCATGTGGTCCCAGAACGCAATTCCTATTATTTCTGCCATGAACTGGCCTACTTTAAAGTGCTGGCAAACATGTTATGTTGTGAATTATGAATAAAAACATTTGTCTGCTTCCTTTTCTATATGTATATACAGAAATCTATGGCTGCAAATCTAACATCCCAAATGTTTCAGCTTCATTTTTAATAACATTTTTTAAATGTGTGTGGTTACATGCATATAATGTAATTGTGTCCTTTATGCACATAATTCACTATACATGGAAAGATTGTGCATAAAAGATCATTCATGATTTCATTCTTTGTATTACATCATTGAAAAACAAAGGAAATATTTAGCTTCCTAATGGATTACTTGTTTTTGGCAAATAAAACTGCAGTTGGTTGGAAATATGCCAACAGTAGTAGTTCAGAGATAGGAGATTGTTGAAAGCAAATACAGTACTGCTGTTGTTCAATCACATAGAAATTATTGAATATTGTGAAGGACTATCTGTTACCATTATGCCAAAAGAACATAATACATATCCCAGATTGGTTGAAAATCATTAAAAGAAATTAGTTTCTTTTAAAAATAGTGATTTATATTTGGATAAGTGGTTAACATTGTAAAATATAAGTTTATAAGCAATTATTTTCTTAACATTATTTTGAAAACCTAAGATAAAAGCATATACTCAAGATTCCCTGAGTATGAGCAATAACTGTATGAGCTATTTATTAAATAATTATTTTCTTTAGGAATGTAGTAGACCTTGGCAGAACTGACTAATATCTGGCCAGTTCCACATTCTTTTTGGGGAAATAATGGCACTCAAATTCCTCTGGCAATCATCTGTGACTTACAGCTTCTTTGCATTGCCTGTGAAACTTTGTTTTCTAGTCAGATAAGCTTAATAGCTTATTATTCACTTGATAATGAAACATTCATTTTATATCTCCCTCAGAAAACTTTGGATATTGATATTATTAACATATTGCTAGGAAATTATGGTTTTCCTTTTCTTTTCTTCTTTTTATGGATTTTCCAGATAATTCCAATATAGAATCCAAAAATTATATGTGACTGGAGAGTACCATGAGTTGCTTTATCATCCTTTGTTCAGTCTGTTATATAATACATAAATATTAATACATTTTATTATGTCTGTTTGCAGTATGATCAAAAACACTTCAGTCCTTTGTGCTTCCAAAATAATTCATTTTCTTGCCCGGTTTAATTATCAAAACATTCTGAATGATGTGCTACGCTTTGTTTCAAAAAAAAAATAAAAAATGGAGTACTATCTACTCTACCCTTTCCTAAATTAAATAAGCACTAATTTTTTTGAAAAAGAAAACATATGGTACTGTTGTTTTAATGTTTAATGGGAAGTATGGCATGCAGAATACAAAACAATAAAAGAATGTCTCTTTCCAGATTCTTGTATTTTTGAATTCCTTGATTTCACCATTCAAGTCCTTCAAATTATCTATACACTTATCTAGTTGTTGTTGTTTTTTTTTTTTTATTTTTATTTTTATTATTATTATTATTATTATTATTATTATTATTATTATTATTATTCTATCAGGGAATCTTTCCAAGGACTATAAATTTATCAGTACTGTAGACAAAGCTTGGAAAAAGAGTATGTAATGCTTAGAAGTAAGAAATGCAAAGTAGTTCCATCTTTAAAGAGCATTTTCTGAAATAAATCTACAAGTTCACAATTATAATTATAGTTTAGCTTAAGTATCAGCCCATTTTAAGTAGACCAACATATTGTTGTTGGCCAAGAAATGTTAAGTAGGATTTCTATTGCCTCAACAATTGTGTGTATCTTTCTTTTTCAGATTATAAAAATGCACAACAGCCTGAAGAATTATTACCATGTCGGATTTGTGGAAGGACTTTTTTTTTACCTGCATTAGTAAGTACGAGTATATGAGTATAATGTCAGATGAGTTTATTTAAATCAAGATGAGAAATGATAGGTGCCCTGGTGGCGCAGTGATTAGAATGCAGTATTGCAGGCTAACTCTGCCCACTGCCTGGAGTTTGATCCTAACAGTGCTGAAGGTTGACTCCACTTTCTATCCTTCCAAGGTCAATAAAATGAGAAGCCAGATTATTGGGAGCAATAAACTAACATTTGTAAACCACTCAGTGATGCTGCAAAGCACTATGGAGCAGTATATAAGTCTAAGTGTTATTTCTATTATTATTGCTATGATGGGATTTTTTAATGCAACAGTTATATGCTGTTTCGTAAAAGGCAGAACATGTCCCCATCATCTTTTTCTCTGCTTTGTATAGAAGAACAGAGCTTTTTATCTGCCAGCTTTCAGCCCATTTTTTTTAAAGAAGCTTCAGAAGTTCTCTCTCTCCTTTTTCCTCTTAGGTATAGGTGAGTGGGAAGGCTGGTTAAGCAACTAGTTACCTCTGACCTTGTCAGAAGGTCCAATAATGCAAAAGCCTCTGAGCTGCCATTTATGTTTGCAGCATTCCCTCAGCAACAGGAAGACTGCTTGTTCACTTCAGCCTGTAGAGAAGTCTCCAGGAGACAGGAACTGAGCTTCTGCAGAACCTTGTTGAGTAAAGTAATTTCAGTTCATCCTTTGTGCTCTTTTTCACAAGGGCTACTCCATACATGATATTGCTTAAGTGCAGGGAACATTATGAATAAAGAAGCCCTTTCCCAAACTAAGGTCTCCAAGACAGCCTTTATTGCTCTAGCCATAGCATCAAGGTCCTGACCCAAGGAATCTCTAAAGGGGGTGTTGTGACCCAAGCCTAAGTAGGTAGTAATCGACGCAAACAGTTCCAAAACAAACAGACTTTATTAGAACAGCTGAGAATTAATTCATTCTCAGTGTAGTCAAAACTAAATTAAAACAAGCTCTTCATAACACAAATTCTTCAGTCTAATCACCAACCTTGGTATAATTAGGCAAACTGCCAAAGGCTTCTCTTGGCAAAAGTTCAAAAGCAGAAGATGCCATCAAGAGATAAGTGCAGCAATACTATCAAAGTTGTTTTCCGACAAACAGCCGAAGAGCCGTTGCTGGTCTTTTAAGCCTTATGGTAGGGGCCAAACATCTCTTGGCCCTACTCCCGAGTCGTCCTCTTTGCTTTAGCTGCTCTTGCCTTCTGGCAGCTCTTCTCATACGTGCACTAGGAACAGGCTCCTCCTGTTCCTCTGCCTCTCTACTGTCAACCTCTGGAGGCTCCGGAGTCCACACATCACTCCCCGATGGCCCTGGTCCCATCTCTGCCCGTGCCTTCCCCAGCCTCCAGGACTGGCCCCTGTTCTTCCTTAGCCTCATCGCTGTCCGACTCCACTGCTAACTCTGCAGGCTGCTGGCGAACCACAACAGGGGGGCTGGAAGCTTACTTGTGGAAAAAGTGCCGAATTTTGTCTGATTCTGTATTTTGGTAGAAGCCTTGGTATTTTCTATGAGTTCTTTAGTGTAATTTGAAGGTCTAGGCAAGATAATGCTTTTTCCTCCATTTATTTGGTCAGTTTTTGGCCTGGGAATATGGTATTATATAAGGCATAATCAACCACTCAAAAGACCCAAAAAGAATGTTCTTCCTTAATGTTCTTCTTCCTCCTTTTTCATGTTCCCATAAGAGCAGGTACAAAAGGACAGCATGAAGGAGAGGCTTATTCAAGATACTTAGAATGCTCAATTCAAGTCCATATTGATACATAGTTCAATATTGTTTCAGTTGAAAATAATATCTATAGTATTGTTTAAAATTGTTTAAAATTAACCCACCGTCCTCATGGTGTTAACTGGGAAATTGCCAGATACCAAAATTCACAAGCAAATATCTTGGTAGGTCTCTGTTTTCCCAGACAATGGAACTTCCATTTCACTGAAATGTTTCCTTAAAAAATTGTCTCTCCTTTCTCCTTTTATGGTTCATCATTTCCATATTTGTGATTTATGCTACTATTACAGACCTTTGTAGAAGCTCTTCTTGATGCCATTTGTTGAATTCCTATCAGGATTTTGACATGGAAGATAGTGTTCTTAATAGTGTTGACCCTGGCCAAGTGTGTAGAAGAGGGAGCTGGCAACTCTTTCAATCAAGTGGAACATCTGGATTTTCCACTCATATAGAATAATTTTGACATTGGAGCCTTATGTTTTGCCCATCTTTTTATAGGACCAAGAGATTCATTATTTTTAATGACCCAGCCTATTCCTGGGTACAGAACTGATTTAAAAACTAACTGTTAGGTTTTCAGGATCAGTCTGAATCATATACAAGTAAGTGTTCAGATAGCTTATTTATAAACCCAGTAATCAAGGCAAAAAATATTAAATATATTAGTAGCCCCTCAAGTCCTACAGCAGCCTTATAATGTCAGGTTGCCTTGTTAGATTTGTGGGTTCTGGTAATGTTATTGGGGCTGGTCCGGGTTATTTTCTTGTACCTGGGTGACATTTTAAAGGCATCAGGTTACTCCCAAATTAGTAAAACCTGTTGCAAGTCAGAAGCTTATTTCAAAAGCTGCTAGCATGTATCTTAGCTTCTCCCCTAAAGGCAGTTTGAATGTGATCTCGGGAGGAATTAATGAAGAGCATTATATTCTAAGAATAGGTACTAATAGCAGAGTCACCCAAGGTATGAAATCATCTCAGCTCCCCGTCTATAGCAAGCAAGAGCTTGCACGGGTTCTAGCCCATAGGAAGATTCTGGAAACAAATGATCTCTTTTAGTGACAATGATGAAAGTATTTCATGCTGCACAGGAGTAAACCACTTCTGTGTTTTATCAAGAAAACCTCAAGGCTAGACAAGACAGAGTGATTGTCAATACAGTGCCAAATGCTGGGCTCCTTGGGTCAGATGACACTATACATGCTCTTGGGGAAGAACTGAGAATATTTTGGAATAGCAATGGTGCTTAAGATGTAGCCAGATTAAAGCTTTTGGGACATCTATGGTAGTTGCTAATATTGCCCTGCAGAAGTTGCAAATAGACATGAAAAGCATAAAGTGCTTTCTGCTCTGGCCATCACCTTCTAGAACAGGGATGTCAAACACAAGGTCCGCGGGGCCATCCTGGAAAATGTAAGGGGCTGACCCGTGTCACTTTGGCCCGGTCTACCCAATGTAGAGAGGAAACATCAGGCCAGCGTGGCTTTGGCCTGGTCTACCCAGTGCAAGAGGAAACATGCCAGCAGTTTGTGGAGTGGCATCAAGCTGGCCATGCCCACCCAGTTGGTCATGCCCAATCATTTGGCCACGGCCAGTGAGTGGTTTCAAACTGGCCATGCCCACCCAGTCAGCCATGCCTGCCCGGCCCCCCAAGGTCAATCACAGCCCTGATGCAGTCCTCAATGAAGTTGAGCCCTGTTCTAGAATATTGTCTCACCGGAGGCGAGGTCTGCACCACACTCCTCCTCTCCCAGAAGAGCCTGAAAACCTGGCTGTGCCAACTGGCTTGAGGCTCCAACAGAGGCGAACTACCCTAGGAGTAGATTATAGAGAGAACCTCATATAAAGTAAATTAATATAATAAATATACAAGGAGTCCTTGACTTAGGACCATGTATTTAACCATAGTTTGGAGTTAAAATGGTGCTAGAAAAAGTGACTTATGACCTGTCCTTAAATTAGGATCATCACACTATGCTTGCTTTCATATGATTATGATTTGGGCACTTGACAACAGGCTCACATTTATGACAGTTGCAGTGTCCTGCAGTCATATGATTGTGGCTTAGGATCTTCCAGCTGGCTTCTAACAAGCAAACTCAATGCAAGAAAGCTGGATTTACTTAACAGCTAGGGTGATTTGCTTAACAGTCATGGTAAAAATGGTAGTAGAATCAGGTCTGATCATATGATTCTCTTAATGACCACATTGCTTATCAACCAAAATTTCTGGTCCAATTATAGTTGTAGGTTGAGGACATCCTGTAAGCTTTATCTCTTGGGTTCTTTGCTTCTCTTACACGACAAGGAGCTAATAATGAATTTTTTAAAATCCAAATATAAATATTCCACTTTTTAAACCTTTCATTTCACAGAAAAAGCATTCTCCCATTTGCCAAAAAACTGCTGCTAAAAAAAGAAAAACATTTGACTCTAGCAGACAGAGAGCAGAGGGAACTGATATTTCCACAGTAAAGCCTATAAAACCACGGGTAAGTACATAAATGCTGAAATATAGGTATTATTTTTAAAAAACTAATATTGGTTGCAAATATGTTATGAGTTTTTAGGAACTTATCCAAAGTAGTGTACTGTTTTATTTTTTCTTTGGTTAAGGAACTGTTAGTTGTTTTCAGTGTACTTCTCATATAATATTTCTTTTTATCTTGGCATTATCTTTATCATTAACTCAAAATGCTGATTTCAGACATATTGTAAGAATGTATATTACTAGGAATACTAGGGCTGTAGGTTGGTTTTGAGAAAAGGTAGAGGCAAATAATTTATATAGTACTTGTAATAAAATTGAAAACACATGATGTGTTCATTAACTTAACAGGGAAAAGTCAAGCTTGACTAGAAGGAGATACTATTATTTTACCATACTATAGAAGCTATTATATGAGCTCATAATCCTGAAGAATTGCAGCCCATAATGAAAACTAGAGCAGGGTAATATGCCGCTAGGAACAAGGCAAGATTTTGGCATTTGATTGTCTATGATAAGATTTTTTTAAAGAAAACTAAAAAAAGCAGATAATATTATTGTGTTCTATTGAATATTGCTGCATCTCAGAAGCTTAGTTTTCTCCATAAGAGAAAGATACAAAATACATAATTCTACACTCTGTACTAGATATACAGTATTTTGTTGGTTTTGGGTAGACCTAATGCTTTAAATTAATATAGTTATGTATTCCTATATCAGCAGTTAATATAACAGTAAATACTTTTAAGTTTAATGCAGTATCTAATTCAACTATATTGAAATATTGAAAACAAGAAAATAACTCTTCTTAATGACAACAGGGAAAATGCAACAAGCATTCAGAAGAATAGGAAGTGATTATAAGCAGACATTGTTATTACTTGGAGTTCAGCTAGCATGGAATATTAAATTTACTTTTTGTTTGCTTACTTTTCTTTCATAAGTGCTATCATGGCGCTTGTCTCAAAGACTAAATGTAATTTTGCAGATAGCCTGGTTAAAAATAATACAATATTTTTATTCAGCTGGTGTTGTTTGGGTTATTGCGTACTGTACTGAGTACACGAGAAATCACACGTTTTACATTGCAAAACTATGTCTGCTGTCTGTGTTGTCTCCTTAGCCAGAACCTCCAAAGAAACCATCAAGCTGGAGACGAAAGCACGAGGAGCTCATAGCAGCTATAAGAGCAGCCAAAGGAGTAGATCAGGTTCTTAAAGAAGGTGGAAAATTGCCGCCGCCACCACCTCCTTCTTATGATCCTGGTATATAATTTGAATTTGAGATATGTATACATTTTAGCATATGTTCATGCAGCATTATTTTTGAATAGTTACATAGCTCTATCTATCAATCGTACATGATCACCATGCTTGTTTAGGACAGATACCTTTATATCCGAAATCCTCTATATTTGATTTTTTTTTTTTTTTTATTCAGAGAGTAAATCTTTAGGAACACTGGATGCTTTGAAAAAATTAGATTGTACCCATCATGTCTGTTCTGTATATCTGTCTTCTTTATATGCAAAACTTTAATTATATACAGTATATCCTTTATGAATGACTGACCCAGATCTGATACCATGATTCTTTTTTTTATCTTCACACAACGCTCCTCTACTGAATCATTTCTAAATTATTATATAGGAAATAATTGCACATTTACATCAGCAGTAAAAGTGGCATGTTTGTCGTAAATTACTGTTGCCTTGATTATTTGTCATTGATTATTTGTCAGAGGTTTCGCACTAAAACCTTTTACACCTGGAGTTGGAAAGGAACCTACAGGGATTTAATTATTTGGCTTTTCTCTTGCTTCCCCATGTGTGACCACAAGTAAGACCTTGTTCAGTCTAATTGTCCTAGGGAAAGAATTCAGACAACTGTATAATTGAATCTACTTTTTAAATCAGTTTTAAACTTCCATTAAAAAAAAAAAACAATACCCACCACTTTTGATTTTTCCCCTGACTCTGAGCTAAAGCCAGCCGTCAGCCAATACCTTTTCCTCATCCCATACAAACATGGGAGTCTTGTATTGTTGTATGAAACTAGAGTTGCTGTAAAAACTATGTGGTTGCAAATATACTGGTATCTTTCCCTCATCACACTTTGCAAGCATTTCTGTAATTGAAACAGAAGAAACAGAACTCCCAAGAACTTTTATTTTTTTCTTTGCAAACACTTAGATGGATGGACACAGGTTGTATTTATATGTGTGTGTGTGTGTGTGTGTGTGTGTGTGTTTTTTTTTTTCTTTTAGCCAGGTTTTTCCTATGTAACCAAGGTTTTTCTGCAGCCCTAGCTCAGTGGAGTCACATCTACTCGATTCTGGGCTTTTTTTCCTTCTGGCAGCCAGCAGGCCTTTGCTGCCTGGTGAGAGACCAGGCAATCAATCAATCAATCAATCAATCAATCAATCAATAACAACAGCACAGAGTCTGCTGTCTGTCAGCAAGAAACAAAAAGCCCACAAACTTGTGAATGAGATTTCACAGAACCATTTATATATATATAAATGTTAGCACATATGGAATAGAAGTGAAGGGCTATTTAGTTACCACTGAACTCTGAAGCAGCTCAGTGGGTGGGATGTAGTTGGAATCTGTTCCTTTAAGAGTTCTATTGATTAGATGGAAGAGAACTGATTGGTTCCCTGCTTATTCTCAGAATTTTGAAATAAGACTCAGAGATCTGGAAATTGTGAAGGTAGACAGAAATATAGTGAAGCTTGTTTTTAGCTGGGTGGTTAAAAGAAAATAATGGAGTGTTCCAGAAACTTGATAATTTACATACATTCTAGAGATTGATGTACTGTATTTCCCCCTCCACTCCCCTGCAGAATTTATATAGTCCTATGAAATATTCAACACACACACAGACATATATTTTTGGTGGAAATAGCAGCTGTTATAAATGTTATGACATCAGGATATTAATTCTAAGTCTTTCTTGGGAGCAAAATTGTGGTTAATTGAGTGAATGAAGTAATGAATAGCCATTACTTTGTTATATATCTGTATCTGTCGAATATAGATTATATTCAGTGCCCATACTGCCAGAGGCGATTTAATGAAAATGCAGCTGATCGACATATCAATTTCTGCAAAGAACAGGCAGCACGTATTTCTAATAAAGGGAAAGTGGTTAGTGAAGTTAAAGGGAAGCTTCCTGCTCGAACACAGGTAAATAAATTTACTATCCATCATTTCATTCTTTTAATTTTACTGCTTTAAAAACAAACATGTTTTAAAGTTAAGTCATAACTTGATAGTTCTTGAAACTTGCCTCCAAAAGTTGTGAATGTTCCAACACTGAAATGGTATAGGGTTTCCTGACTAAAGAGGGGGTTAGACTAGAAGTCCTCTAAGGTCCCTTCTAACTTCTGTTATTCTATTCTATTCTATTCTATTCCATTCCATTATTTCTTTTGGATATTTAAGAAACGAAAACAATCTGACAAAATCTAGGAAGGAACAAAGACACCAGGAGTAATTAATTAATACAGAACCCATACATACTACCTTTTATAAGCCTTTATGGGAAGTTGAACATTACAGATAGGACATTATTTTAATCTATTTTAGCTTTCATTGAAGAAATAAAAAGGCAAACAAATATTAAAGTCTAATCACTTTAACTTAAATCATTTCCCAAAAGTACCTTGTTTGCTTTGAAGTCTTTTCAATGTCCTCTTTATTATGCAGAATATGCCAGAGTATTTAATCACATAAATAATTTATCTAGAAGTAGGCTTATCTTCCATTAATTTATATAAACCTCCATTAGTTGTTATCCAAGATCATGGCTGTCACAGCATCCTTATGGTAATAGACTCCATAATTTAATCATGACAGATTTTCAGTGGCATCAATATCTATACTTGCGATAAGTTTAGAGTCATTTCCATTCTTCAGAGGGGGAAGTAAGAAACAAAGGTTAGCCAAGCCAAGCCATACATTCCATATGTATTCCAATACCAATTTTACTTTACACTTCTATTACATAGAATTTATCTAGATTCAGTGTGAAAGCTCAGTGTTCAGTGTTAAAGCTCATGCTTTACATATTTATCATTATATTAATTAGGGAGGGGGGGAGGAAAAGGAAGGGAGGAGTCTCCTCTTTAGAGATCTTGGAGAACTACTGCTACAGTGTAGAACAACCATCAGAGCCTAGGACTCTCTATATGTGTTGAATATAATTCCTGGACACTGACCATTCGTCTGTGGTTTGATGGATGTGCTGGTTTCTTCTTGTTATATTGCAATACTTTTCCTCGTTGGAAGTTCCTCCTTGTTGGAAGTTATCATGCTTGTTAAAAACAAAGTAGCATGCTTTAACTGTAATATATAAAAAGGGTAGGTAGTCTGCCTTAAATATGGGGCACTAAAAATGTAACACTGAATCAGCATGATGGTTGAAGGTTATTTAACCTGTTAAATTACTGGCTTAATGATATCATATTTGTTATTTCAGTACAAGACACCAACAGTAAAGAAGATACCTTCTTCAGGGCTAACACCGCCAGCCTTATCACGCTTACCACAACCAAGTAATGAACATGTGTGCATATGTGTGTGTGTGTGTGTGTTTCCTTTGTCTGGAATTTTGTAATTAGGCATTCTCTTGTAGCTCCCTCAGCAGAGGAAATTTAAATCTTAAAACAAATTTAGCCCAAGCTGCTAGAAGTTAGGATAGATAGTGCTAATACAGATGAACCTCTAATATGCAGAATGTGAATGAAGTTCTGATCATATGTTTGAGGTGATTATCTGCCATAATAAACATTTTAAGTTCTTCTCTGCAACGACATCTCAATAATTAAAATGACAATTTCAAGATGCTTTTTTAAAAACTGAGATGAATAATTTTGAAAGCAGTTGTGCTGTTTTCAGTGTCCTGCTTCATAAGATTCCTGGGAGAAGAATGAACAAGTGAGTTGAGTAGTCACTGCTATATTAATGTCTCGTTTATCTCCCTACCTTTCTCTCATTGCTTCTCCTGGCTTGTTAATACTATAGAAGGAAATTGTTAGCATTGGAATCTCATTTCTAATCTTGTATAAAAGAGTAGGACAAGGGTCTTATTTTTCAATGCCATTTAAAATATTAAACTTGCTGACTTAATATTGCCCTTTATTTCTGAATAAATGAGTCACAGTGGGGGGGAGGGATCCTATGGTGGTCTGAAATCTTAAGAGTGGCAACCAAATCCATCTAAACGTTACTGCTAAATTGTAATTCTTCATGTGAAAGAAAAAGAACAGTAAAACATCCATAGATTGAGAGAAAATACTTTTGATTAAATTATAATTAAGTTAGATCAAATTTAGCATTTTCCTGAGTATCAACTTGATTTTCTTGGCCTCATGCTCAACTTTTTGAGGTATGACTGTATTAATTAGATTGTACCCATCATGGTACAATCTAATTTTGGCAATTTTTCTATTAGGCTTTGCACTGAGGTCTTAGACTGTACATAAAGATATGGAAATGTGGAAATTCAGTCTTGTAGTGAAAGAAACAATGTTTTTCATGTTTTCATGACAAGGTTCCTCTGCAAATAAAACACTGTCTCCAGGTGGACAAGTGGGAAACAAAATCCAGAGTTCTCCAGCTCATAAAAACGTAATGAAAGTGAGTCCACAAATAGGGTAAGTATATTCTTAAAAGAAATCTGACAGTGGGGTTCACAGGACAAGATGCTGAAAGTTTCTAGAACTATACTTGATCTGCTTTCATTTCCATGGAAATCTGATAATAATGTATGCAAAATCCAACTAGTCTGCATTCCCTGATGAGAACATTAGAAGAAATGAGATATTGAGTGTTCCTATCAATGAATTATAGTCATTCATTAAATGGTAGTTATGCCATTTAAGTGGCAGTGAGAATTCTGAAAGCAAAAGCAACTCATATCTCAGATATGACCCCATGTGGTTGCCTTAACCGCATTTTCTGTATCTCAAAATATGATTTGAAGCTGTTTTGGGTTACAGATAACTAAATATTTGATTTAATCTTAGCCTTAAAAAGGTCTATTCCTATTCCATTCTTAAACTCAGAGCCAGGCTAATTTCTGAGTCATTACCAGACAGTCTATATCAAAATGTCTTATAAATGTATCCGTTCCCATGAATGATTTGATTAAGGTTATAAATGGATTTCAACTATCAATAATTAATGATTTGCTATTGAATATTCTTTATAATCCTGAGATAACATTTCTCAGTGACTGTGTAGCTGTGTTAATGCATATAAAATTACAAATGATTTTCATTACAAGTTGGATAAAATTATTTTAAGAGGTTTAATGGCTTCAATCATTTGTTGTATCACCTGTACTTTAGGCACCTTTGGCACACTTTAGGAGTGATTAAATTTTAAATTGCTTCCTTCTACTTCTGCTTGTAGCATTCCGTATTATGGCTTGTGCAATTTTTCAACAAGATACAGCATTTTTCAGGGCAAGACAAGACCTCCATCTATCTGTTGTGAGGGGTGGGCAAAGGAGAAAGCTTACCCACTTTTTCAGGTTGCAGCTCCAAATATTTCATTTATAAATGCAGCCATCATTTAAAACAGTTTGGGCTCTGATATTTTGCTTGGCTCTGCTTGCTAACCCTTCTTCTATCTCTTTAATGCTTTCTCACCTGTGGTGATACTATAGTTTTGAACATTTTGAATAAAGAAATGTTGAGCCTCTTGATTAACCTCCTATTTCTTTTACCAGCTGGAGGTGTTTTCTCCTTTGAAATAAAACATTTGATTGTGTTCAATTTCTGGATGATAAAGAAATTAAAGAGTAAAATAGTTTGTCTTTATCCTCTAGATGGCAACATGTAGCTTCTGTATAAAAAGTGGATAATGCTATCAAAAGCAGGAAATTTTAAGAAATGAATTTCTGATCTTATATAAAAATCAGACAATAATTTGAAGATGATAATAAATAATTTGAGTTTGGAAAAATTCCAGCTGTTCTGTTTTGTTATAAATTGTTGTGTGAGACAGATAGTGCTTTTAACGCACAATATTTTTTAATCTCTCAAACATTGTTTTGTGTTTTCTGAATAATTTGATACTTAATATTTTTATTCTACAGCGCAAACCCATGATAAAGCAAAGGACTTGATTTACATTAAATAAGCGTACGATTCTGCATTTTTGAAAAGGATGAACTGCACAATTTAATTGCAATGATATAAAATGACAATGCCAGGAAAGTGCATAGTGATTTTGCAAATTTTCTTTAGCAAACTCTTGCATTAATACTAGTAACAATGACTGTTTCCTAAACTTTTATCAATTAGTGCCAGGCACTCTAACTTTTGTAATTTTTGTAATTGTGATGATAAACTCTTGATTTAATGGACAAAATCTGCTGATGAACAAGGATATATGCTGGGACATCAGTAGCAGCCAAGAAAAGGCAAAAAGAGGGAAGGAAGGGAAGACTGGAAAAAAACGGGATGGACAAGACAAGGGGATATGTTGTGCTGGAATATCCACAGCAGCTATAGACACTGAAAAGATCCTGGAATAATTAGGCAGGTCTATGGAATATGCTGTGCTGGGATTTGATGTAGGAAAATAGATGCATCTAATCAAGCTTGCCATACTTGTTAGGTTTAGGATAAACCTAAATACTGGCTAACTTTAATTCTGCCTAATTCATTTAATAATAATATATTTTAAGAGGGCCCATGAAACCACGGATGGGAGCATCTACTAATATGACACGAAGCACCGGTCCGGGTATGATGGCAAACAAAAGAAAAGCATTTGGTACTGAAACTTATTCAGCCAGGTAAATTATATTTGCATCTATTGACTTTAATTAAGATGAAGTAATTGCCAGATGAAAGAAAAGGATAAAAATGTGAAAATACAGAGAAAAGCATAAAGGGTCAGATTTGGGTTTTTTTTTTAAATCAATGAAATTGAACCATTTCTCAGTGAAATGTATCTTGCACTGTACAAGTAAAAAATTCTAATCTAATCAACATAAATGTGGAACTTGACTTAAACTAGTCAAGTTTTTCTGAAAGTCATTATTTTTTTCTCCCCATAGCTTCAGAGCCTTACTGAAATTAAATCTATTCATATTCCTAATAGTCAAACTAGATACCTCACAAGAGAATTGGGATTATAGTGTAAGGATATTCCCCCAGCCAATTTTATTTTACAAAGCAAGGAAGTAGCTGTGGGGAAATTCCTTCTCATTTCTGTTTTAAGTTCTAGGGGACTAAGCCAGATATTTTCTGTTTTGTACTTCTTTGTTAATGTGTATACCAACATATACATATACCAAAATATATTCCATTGGTAATTGGTAAATGTTCCCTGAACATAATGTCCTTAATTTTCAGAGCAACTCAGCAGTTTTAAAAGTGTAAGGGATCCTAATATCCCCAAATTTCCATGTAATGTTTTCTTTAGTCCTTGGCTTCCATTTTATATGTGAATTTCTAAATGAGACATAAATGCTTACAGGTAATTCAGGTAATTGGTGCAATGTTTTCCACTGAAAATGTGGAGCATAAAACATTTAGTCAACATAGTAGCAGAATTCTCAAAAAGTATACTTTGGGCAAGTTGTTTACTTGAGTCAAAAATTAATATATTAATTCTTTATTACTGAAAAGAATATTTTAGAGATCGCTGAAATACGTATTTCTTTACCTCTAATCTTTGTTGTGTTTATTATTTTGAATTTTTAATGCTTGACATAGGCCCGGATTCGACAGTGGAGACTGTTCATCTATCAATGGAGGAAGTTCAAAAAGCAGTGAGGGAAATTCTCTTGCACAGTTACCAAAATTCTGTTACGAATGTGGTACCAAATATCCAATTGAATCTGCAAAATACTGCTGTGAATGTGGTGTTCGAAGAATGATTTTGTGAATACACCTGTAATGTAAAATGAGAGATAGATTTCTTGCTAAGGCTGTATGAAAATCTCTGCTATACTTTTCCACCGGGATTTGCGCTAAGGCACCATATTATGTTCTGGGCAATTATTTTTTGTTGTGAAATAATATATATAGATATATAAATACGTTGTATATAAATGGTTAGATACATAAAACTGTGCCATTCTAGATGGTATACTTGAGATATTGTTGAAGAATATTTAATGGAGCAAAACTTTAAATCAAGCGCTAAGGTTTTTTGTAATATACATATATATTAATGTTCTTATTCATTTGTAGTTTTTGCCCTGAATCATTTGGTCTAAAGAACGTGTTCCAGTAGAAAATATGTTATACATGGAAATATTGATTGATATTTGGTTGATAACCTAGACGAGCTTGTTGATTGACAGTCATACATTTTATTGTTTGTATATGTTTAATATAAATTGAAATTACTAGTTTCACATGTACTAATATAGCTAACTAGTTGGCATTTTACCTGCTTTCTTGTTCCAAAAAGCTATAACAAGTTTTTGTGCACAGATATTTTTCTATGTGGAAAACTTCCCATGTGTTTCATACAAAAAGATTGAGTTGCTAATAAATTAATTAAATTGTCAAATATAATTTAATCATGTTCTTAGGATCAACTTCTTTTCCTAAAAAACAGGTTTGTGATCAGTTTTAAAAGCTTGGCCAATATGGTCTAAGTTAATTTCCTTTTGATTGCTTGAAATGTACCAACAAAAAAGCATTGAATATTTTATAATAACTATGACACACTTGTTTCAGAAAATGATATCCCAATCATGATTTTTCTTCTTCCTATTACTTTGACTTGAGGGTGACTTTACCATTATCATTTCTTACACAGTCCTCTGAAACTAAAACAAAAAGAATTATATTAAACTCAAACTACATTAGTATTGTTACATTTTTTTTTAGTAAATTTGGTAATAATTTAAGTAAAACAACAAGTCAATTTCCATTTTTTGACCTGAATGATGTAGGATTTTTAATGCTATCTTCATTCTAGTCAAAACCTGCTTGCTGTGGCAGATGACAATTAAAAATGCATTGAGCAAGATTTGTCCCTATTTTTGAGTATATTGGCCAATGGCAAACTGCAATTTTTAACTAAAAGAATTAACAGGTTAATTAGTATAGAATTGTATTTGTGTTAAAATTCTCTTTAAAAAGCATTCATAAATGTAGTATTCCAGTTCTGTATTGTTACCTAATTTTATGTGTATTAGTGAAAATCAATCTTTAATATCTTAATGTAGATTAGCATTTTTGTTTTTTTATTTAAAATACACTGGTATGGTGGAGCTTACATAACAAAAATTCAGAATGCACTGTAGTTCTTCCTTGGTCTATGGATTATGTGGATTCTGCTCTGCCTTGCCTATTAACTGTTAGTATAACTTAATATGCATCCTATTCACCAAAGAACCCACATTTGTTGTATTAAAAAGTTTCACATGTTCCTGCAGATGCTTTATTACATCTTATTGCATCTCTTTGATATGTTTTAATATAATGAATCTGGTCTTCATAACAAAGCAGTAGTCTAATTTCTACTAAATAGTTACATGAGCATTATTCTGATTAGGTAAATTTTGTTTCCCTAAATGTTCTTTAAGAACAAAAGCATTGTATAAATGCTTGTTCTATGTAACCTAGAATTTTGTTAATAAAACTTTCATTGTGTATATAATTCTTATATCTTAAAGAATCTTTCTCTATGGGTAGGAAAAAGCTATTGGGAAATAAAGTCATTAGGTGAGAATTCCTAAAAATTGAAAACACTAAAACATAATTATAAATCTTTGTAGAAAACTATAGGAATAGAAATAAAGATGTCCGAGGAAGTAAATGTGGAAGTAACTCAGATTTTAGGGATTGTTTTGGGAAATATTACCATAGAATGAGCTGAAAGTACGTATTAAAACAGCAACAAAAAAAAGAGAGCTTTCCCAGGTGTTTAAGGAACAGAAAAAATGTATCAGCTGCTCAGTAAAAATGAGTAAAAATGAGACTGGAAAGCAAGGGCAGAATCAAGTAACTACATTGACATACTTTTTGCTGGGAAGAGGGTGGAAGTCGGGTGCTGCCCTAGAAACCAGAAGCCTGTGAGTTCTAACCTTGCCTTAGATATGAAAGCCAGCTGGGTGACCTTGGGCCAATCACTCTCTCTCAACCCAACTCACCTCACATGGTTGTTATGAGGAAAATAGGAGGAAGCTGCATTAGGGTACATTCACCAGCTTGAGTTACATGTAAAAATAATAAAGGTGGGATATAAATAATTAAATAAATAATGTGTGTCCCAATATGCAATTATGAAGAGCAGATTGAAGGAACAGGATTCCAGGTCAGGCTTGGTAGAAACATAAGAAATAACTGTTGGCCTTGAACATGTTCACATATTGAATTCCAGAAATTCCTTCTTAAGAGTATTAAGAAATCATCTAAGTTTGGTCTGATCAAACTTCTCATCTTGAAGAAAATGTGAAGAAAATGTGAAAAGAACCAACGAAGCAACATTCCTTTCTTAATTTTTTAATTAACTTTTGATTGTGAAAGACTGGGCATATTTGTTCGTCTTAACAGAAACATCATGACATCCTGAATAGGAAGTTAATTAAGTAAGTATGGTATATATAGCATGGCATTCTATTGAGTGAACATGCAAACAATAGTTGGAGAAACTGTAAAAACAGTTCCTCATCAGAGTGAAGTACAATAATAAATAGAATACTACAGGGTTGTTTTGGTGCTGCTCATCAAGTTTTTTGACTTGGATGAGGTAAAGGAAATGATCTTCAGATGGGACAATTAGTAATCTTTTTAAAAAATCAGAATTATTTGGATAGGTTAGAAAAGTGGCTGAAAATAATGAAACTGAACAAAAAGATTTATTTTCACTTATGGAAAAAACACATGTACATTTGTTAAAATGTTAAAAATATTGGAATTGTAAGTAATCATAAGCTAAATATTAATAAGCAGTAATATTAAATATTAATAAGCATGTCCATAACCCATTTCTGGGCTCTTGGAAGTACAAATGTTGCCCCTGGCTGCAACATTTCAAAGTCACCCATCTCTTTTCATGGAAATTATGTGGCTTATTTAAGGTGCTATAGACCTTCATGCCTCTGTTGTGCTCCCTCATATTCTGCAGCTCTTTTAAAAGGAGAAATCTGAAACATTGCACAGCCTTACTAAGTAAGACTTGAGAATATGATGGGGCTTCTAAAAAGGTCAAAATTTAAAACTAATTTTAATTTTCATCAATGTAAAATAATTTCCAAATTTGAGATTTAATAATTTTATTCAGTATTGGTTGGACATCCAGTAAGATAATGTATTAAGGTGCAGGCATTTCTTTCCTACGTCACAAGTTGTTAAAGTTTGTTGAAAACAATACTTTAACTGTAAAAAACAATTGGTAAGTATTAGTACTAAATGAATTGTATCTACTTGTAGAATGGGGGAAGGGGAAATTGTCTGAAGAAACTACCTTCTCTTTCCCACCATGGAACAACATGCTTCTGCCGAACAGCTTGTCCTAGTTCCACTTTCTGAAGAAATACCTGCAGAACTGGAGATTGGGGCATCAAGTGAGAATTTTTCTTAAGAAGAACCCTGGGCTCTGACTGACATTCTATTATATTATTTGGTGAGAGCTATTCTGATTGAGATTCTTCATCTTTTTTTGCAATAATATTCCAAGTTTTGAATGTTTAATTTGTCAGCGTAATGGATAGAAGGAATAATGCTGAGGAACAGGACGAAAAGCTGCAATCAAGATAAAATAAAAGAAATTTGAACCTGCGTCAGAAGTGTAAGATTTTTTTTATAAAGTTTTTATTTTTATTTTTCATAAACACATTTACATGCACAGTCATTTTCATCATTAATTTTTACTTTTTCGGGGCTGCTCTTTTACCCTTTACCTTTACTCCAACCTTTCTTCTCCCCTTCTCTTCCTTCCTGTTTCTCCTCCTACTTCCTTCGTTCTTCTTCTCCTTCTCTTTCCTACTTCCCCTTCTCTTCCCCCACTCCTCTCTTCTTCCCCCCTTCTTCCCTTCTCTCTTCCTCTTTCCCCTCCTTCTTCTTCCTCTCCTTTTCCCTTTCTTCTTTCTCCTCCTCTCCTCTCTTTTCCCTTCCTCTCTCTCTACTCCTTCCCTTCTGTTGTTTTCAGTTCAATCTAAGTGATATTCGAGCAGCCCCGATTTCCTAATTATCTTTATTCTCATTTCAATTTCTTATTCAATTATTAATTTTTATTTAATCATTTGCGTAAATTTTTATAATATCTCACTTTTTTCTCTTTTACCCCCCCTCTCCCCTTTCTCCTTTTAGTTGACATCATCTGGGTATCTATTTTTCTAATTGTTTTCTCCCATCTATTCTCTATCTATTTTATCTCCATGTCATTATTCATATTTTTTTTCTATTTCTTTTCAATCATAAAATTTATCCCATGTCTTGAAATACATCGACACCTCTTTATCTTTTATTCTCAGTTAATCTATTCATTTCTGCACATTCTAAAATGTTCTTTATAATTTCTCCTTCCAACGGAATTTTATCTGCTTTCCAGTTTTGTGCAAATACAATTCTAGCCACTGTTATTATATAAATAATCAAATATGTATCTTCTTTGCTATAATTCTCTGGTAAAATTCCCAATAAGAATATCTCTGGTTTTAACTCTATATGTTGCTGCAATATTCCCTCTAACCATGTTTGTATTTTCACCCAATATTGTTTTGCTTCTTTATACAACCACCACATATGATAGTATGATCCCGGCAACTGATGACATTTCCAACACTTAGCTGATTTATCTTTAAACATCTTATCTAATCTTTCTGGTGGCACATGCCATCTATAAAACATCTTATACAGGTTTTCTTATAGGCTATTGCCATTGTTAATTTATAATTTCTTTCCCAAAGTTGTTGCCATTTGTCCAATTCTATGGTGTATCCAAAATTCTTTGCCCATGCTATCATTGTTTCTTTTACTTCATCTTCTAGTCTAATACTCAATAAATAATTATATATTTTCTTAATCATTTTCTCATCTGTTCCTGTCAATATTTCATCCAGTTCTGATTTCCTCAAGTTAAAACCATATTGTCTACAATCTGCTTCATATCTTGATTGTATTTGCAGTCTTGTATACCAATCTATCTCAATCTCTTGACTTTCTAGTTCTTGTTTTTGTTCAGTTCTCTCCAATCTGTCAAAATGTCTTTATATCTAACAATATTCCCCATGTTCACAATATTTGGGTATGTCACCGCCTTTATTGTAGAAAGCCACGTTGGAATATTCAAATAATGTTTTTCTTCCACTCTTTCCCATACTGATAGCAAGCCATTTCTTACATAATGTCTTTTGAAATATCCATGTATCCTTTGTTTCCTGGACCATAAAAAGGCATGCCAACCCAGTCGTAAATCATGACCCTCCAATGTCAGTAGTCTTGTATTCCTTAATAAAATCCATTCTTTAATCCATGTTAACGCTGCTGCTTGATAATACAATTCCCAATTTAGAAGGCCAAACCCACCTCTAATTCTTGCATCTTGTAGCATTTTTATGTTAATCCTTGCTCTCTTTTCTTGCCACACATATTTCCACGTTATTTTCTTCAACTCTTCAAAGTATTTTTTCTCCAGTTTTATTGGTATAGTTTGAAATAAAAATAATATTTTTGGTAATACATTCATTTTTATTAATGCTATTCTTCCCATTAGTGATAATTACAAGTTTGTCCATTTCTCCAGGTCTATTTCAATTTTTCAGTTTGTGATAATTGTCTTCCTTGAGTGTTGCACATCTTGATGTCAGATAGATGCCCAAATATTTCACTTTCTTCACAATTTGAATGTCCAGTTTCTCCATCATCTCCCTCTTTTGTTTTTCTCTCATATTTTTAACTAATATTTTTGTCTTATCTTTATTGATTTTCAGACCTGCTACTTTCCCATATTCTTCTATTTGTTTTAATAGTTTTAGTGCTGTCTCTATTGGGTCTTCCATGATAAACACCAAATCATCCGCAAATGCTTGTAGTTTGTATTCTTCTTTTTTAATTCTCATTCCTTTTATTTTCTTTTCCTGCCTCACTTTTCTATTTAAAATCTCTAATGTTAATATAAATAATAATGGAGATAAAGGGCATCCTTGTCTTGTTCCTTTTCTAATCTATATTTTCTCTGTCATTTCACCATTTACCATCACCTTTGCCGCTTGGTCTCTATATATAGTTTGGATCATATTTATAAATTTATCTCCAAAATCCATAATTTTCAACTGTTTTATCATAAACTGCCAATTTATGTTGTCAAATGCCTTTTGTGCATCTAAAAATAACAACGCTATTTGTTTCTCTGAGTGTAGTTCATAATATTCTAATGTGTTTAATATAGTTCACATATTGTCTCCAATTTGTCTTTTTGGTAAGAAGCCATTTTTATCCAAATGTATAAACTCATTTAGTAATTTTTTTAATCTTTCAGCCATGATTGATGCAAAAATCTTATAATCCACATTTAATAAAGATATCGGTCTATAATTCTTTATCTGTTGCAGATGTGCCTCTTCTTTTGGTATTAAAGTTATATATGCCTCCATCCATGAGTCTGGAATTTTAGCTTTAAGTAATAGTTCATTGAATACTTACAGCAACACATTGCTTAGTACATCTTGTAGGGTTTTATATACCTCTGCTTGTAATCCATCTGGGCCTGGTGTCTTCCCATTTTTCTGTCTTTTAATTCTCTCCATTAATTCCATCATAGATATTCTTTCTTCTAATAATTTTTTGAACTTTTCTGGGATTCTAGGCAGTTCCATTTTCTTCAAATATTGTTCTATCTTATCTTCTACTGTTTCTTGTTGATACAATTCATTATACTATTTCTCAATTATTCTCTTCTTTTCCTCACTTCTATAACATATCTTTCCATCTTGATCTATTAATGTACTTATTAATTTCTTTTCTTTCTCTTTTTTTCATTTTATATGCTAACCATCATCCTGGTTTATTTGCATTTTCAAAAAAAAAATTGCTTTGTAGCTTTTATTTTATTCGCCAATTCTTCATTTTCCATTAAATTCATCTTATGTTTTTTTTCAAATCCAACAGATTTTTAATCTTTTTATAGTGCGGGTTTTTTGTAGTTCCATCTCTAATCTCTTATATTCTTCCTCTAAATTCTTATGCATTTGTCTAAAGCAATACACATTCTACTCAAATAGACATCTATCGTGGTCAAGAATAGACATGATGTGGGTGTCAACAGAATTAATAGCTAAAATACAAGAAATTGATATTGGAATAAATGTATGGGCAGACCACAATCCAATAATAATGACATGGAAAGGGGAAAAAAAGAGAAAAAAATCCAACAATATATGGAAAAAGAATTGACTTTTTTTAAAAAAGAGAATAAGAAAAAAGATACATTTTTACAAAACGTGGGATACCAGTAAAGCATATATTAGAGGATTGGCAATGACATATTTAGGAAAAAGAAATAGAAGTGTAAGTTGAGAAAGCATTTCAGACATGCTTTCCCAGGTCCCATCAAAATAAAGTCAGGGAGAAGGGAATAATATTTGGCCCTGGAAGTTTGCTACTACAGCCTGGTAACAAACCATAGTTTTTTGTTTTTTGTTTAATTTGATTTATATGCCGCCCTTCTCCGAAGACTCAGGGCGGCTTACAATGTGCTCAGCAATAGCCTTCATCCTTTTGTATATTTATACAAAGTCAGCTTATTGCCCCCACAACTGGGTCCTCAATTTACCTACCTTAGAAAGGATGGAAGGCTGAGTCAACCTTGAGCCTTGGCGAGATTCGAACCCTGCAGTAATTGCAGGCAGCTGGTCTTAATAACCAGCTTAATAACAGGGTGCCTTAAACCCCTGTACTATCAACGCTCTTTTAGTGTTATCTTGCATGTCTTCAGTTTCCATGTTTGATCTGCTAACATCAATCTTGCAAATCTCAATTATTTCCAATGTTAAGGAAATTAAACATATTTGAACTTTGCCAGGTAAGAAATTATCATAAATAATTAATGCTTTGAAATAACATGTCATTCTATCCGTTTATGCAGCTAGAACTGTGTTAGCTTTTTTGGCAGCTGCAACACACTGCTGACTCATATTTAAGTGATTATCCACTAGGACTCAAAGATCCCTCTCACAGCCACCACTATTGAGCAAGGTACCACATATACTGTACCTGTGCATTTTGTTTTTCTTGCCTAAATGTAGAATCTTACTTTTTTCACCATTGAATTTCATTTTGTTAGATAGTGCCCAATGTTCAAGTCTGTCAAGATCCTTCTGTATCTTAAGCTTATCTTCCGGAGTGTTGGCTACTCCTGCTAGCTTGGTGTCATCTGCAAATTTGATGAGTTCCCCATCTATCCCCTCGTCCAAATCATTGTTGAAGAGTACTGGGCCTAAAAAACAGAGCCTTGGGGTACTCCACTGCATACTTCCCTCCATGTAGATGCAGTTCCATTGAGGACTACCCATTGAGTGCAGTTGGTCAGCCAGTTATAAATCCATCTGGTGATGATGCTATCTAACCCACATTTTTCTATTTTATCAAGTTGTAGGACTAATTTATTCTACTTGATTTAATTTTGTTTCAGAAAACATGATCTTTGGAGTTACTAATATTAGATATTAATTAATAAAATGTATATGCTGCCCATCTCCTGGTGACTGGGCAGCTGAGTAGCTTTATTACACACTCACTTAAAGCTGTATCTGACGGGTAGTGGAGGAAAATAAAAATATACTAGTTAGAGATATGTTCTTGTTTATTGGAGTGTCAGTCTAGCCATAGCCATGGCTCCTTGGGGAAAAATATTTAATAGTAAATATTTACTTTCCTCTGAAGTTTATATAGATATGTCAAGGAGAGTTGGTAAAAATAGAAAACTGTGTATTTTTCTTTGGAACTGAACATAAAGTACTTTTCTTTGGAACTGAATATGAGAATTGGTACAAATTACCTATTTTTTTTTCATTAAATGTTTTGAGTTGAACCAATACAGTGTCCAAGGATAATGGTGTTTGCAAGATGATACTTGAATCAAATTAGCTATGCATTGATAAATGAGCATACTAAATGAGCGAAGGAGGATAAATGAGGAGTGTGTATACTTTAGAACAGAAACAAAGTGGCCTGCCACACTTGAGAACATGTTTCTTCTTTCTAGGTTGTACATATCAGGTATGAGGTTTTTTCCCCCAAAAGGTTCAACAGCCAAATGCTAGGTTCAAGACTTACCATACACAGAATGTGGAGGTAAGAGGAAAAAAATGTACATTTTCCACATGTAAATTTTGTGGAAATAAAGTAAGTAGAAAGTAAGAAACTTGAGAAAAATGGGTTACTTTTGTGTTCTGTAGGGCTGTTGTCAGTCTGAGAGAGAATTCTGCCAATGTATTGTCTCAAATTTCACTGCTCCCTCTCAAATATTGTGACCGATTTCATTTAAGACTTTCCATTCATTGTAATTAGAAGCTAGAACTGTGAGTTATAACTCCAATTCTCTTATTCCTCCAAGAGTTCACTTTCTATAGAGCTATGCATCTTCTTTTTAATCTTAGCAAGTCAAAAAAGCTAAGCAGAGCCAACAAATTAATACTATTAAGCAAGACTGCCAGGAACTCATAAGGCTGGCTGGGAAGTCAAAACAACATCCTAGAAGTCCTAAAGATGCTTTTTCCAAAAGGCAACTGGATTTTCTTGTTTTTTTTTTCTTTGAAAACATTTTGTTTCTCATCCAAAAAGCTTCTTCAGATTAGTTCTTCAGAATTTTTTCAACGAAAAAAGAACCAAGAAAGTCCAGTTGCCTTTTGGAAAAAACACCATTGGGGCAACCATGACCTGGATGATTGAGAATCTTCATAAGACAACAACCTGTTGTCAACAACCTGTCTGCAGTAGTGGGTTTCAAAAATTTTTACTACTGTTCTGTGGGTGTGACTTGGTGGGCGTGGCATGGCTTGTTGGGCATGGCAGGGGAAGGATACTGTAAAATCTCCATTCCCAGCCCACTCCAGGGGAAGGATACCGTAAAATTTTTACTACCGGTTCTCCAAACTACTCAAAATTTCCGCTACCAGTTCTCCAGAACTAAGCAGAACCTGCAGAAACCCACCTCTGAACCTGGGAGAATCTACTTTCATATTTTTTGCAAAAAAATCATGAACATATCTATAAAGGCACGAATAGATAACCTGAAGGAGCTTTCACATATTAGTCTATTTTTGAAAACACACTGCTTGCGTTCACACATTCTAAGATTAAATCAGGTGGCATTAAATAAAGACACTATTTATTCCATTTTGAATAATTTAACAAGGTTTAGAATTGTTATTTTAGTTTGGAGTTCCTTTGGAAGAGCCCTGCTTTGATTTTTGAACCTCCTATATCTGTACACACATGTCCAGTATCTGTGCCTTCTATTGAAATTGGCTAGGACTATGCAATCTGAATGTATTTATTAATTTAATCTCTGAACATGAGATCTTAAGATGGTTTTTTAAAGAGCAGATATAATATTTTGAATCTGAAGTATTTCAACATTGTGACTCTTAAAAGTGCTGCGTGCAGGATATATAGTCCTATTTCAAGAGGCATGAAACACTTGTCAGAATGTTTCAGGGTCAGCGCATGTCCAATAAGTTTAGACCAGCATGCCTGAATATGAAACGGGATGTTTCAAGTTACAGTTTTCTGAACTTTGAAACATTTGAACATCCCTAATACTTATATTGTTAAATGTCAGTAAGGGGCATCAAGCAAATACTTTCCCCTCATCCTCTAATATTCTCCCATAGGTTAAAAAAAATTGGCACAGCTGCGATTAAGCATTGTTAATTACTTACTGCAATATGTAGAGTACATAATTATAGCCAACTTAATACTATAAAATCAGTTGCATAAAATTTCAAGTTAGAGACAACCATAATGGTATTGTATTAAATAAACATTTATAGAGGGCTGATGGTTTATTTTTTAAAAAAACTTAATATCTATTCATTTTTGCGAAGTACCACAACAAAAACCTTTATGATTTGCATACAATAAAGAAATTGTATTTTTTTCAATACATAGTCCTAATTCTTAAAAGCTATCTATTTGTACCTTTGTCATAACCATTCCCCAAACTGCTACCTTGCTCTCAATTATCACTCTTCATTTTCTTTCCAAATCTATTAACTACCGTATGAAGACAATATGTTCAGGAATCCTTATGTTGATGAAAATTTCTTAGGATGCAAAATATATACAGCACATGTATATGTTGTAAAACAGAAACGAATAAATATGGAACATTTCATCTATTGACTTTTTTTCTTCTTCTTCTTCTTCTTCTTTCATTAGCACTTAAGAACTTTGATATGTTGGCAGCCTGCTTCTCTTCTTCCATTTTTTTCTGTTGTGGGACTCATGGAACAAATTCAACAGTCTTGTCAAGGAATTAGCGGAGGATATTTGCATAATTTTCTGTAGAAAAAGTCTGATGTATATCTAGATTATAAAAGCTTCTCTTAACTCTTATAAAAGTTATACTTATCGCTTTATTCCTTTTAGGAATAACTATGATAAAGAAACTTCTGCCACCAGACACGCAAGGCTGAAACAACATTCTTTAGGCAACACAAAGTATAGATACAGTCAAATTTTCTGATGTATTTCCTGCATTGACGATAATTGCAGCGGTGGTTGAGTGGTTGTAAGGTATAACCATTCTAGATCAAAACATAAACGTATAAGCTGTTTATAATTAATATTTATCGATGAACAGTATGTAATTCAGTTAGACGTGGCTGTAAAAAATGATCTAACCTTTGTTGCCAGTTAAAAGATACTGACAGAATTTGATTAGAACCAGTCACTTTCTGATGAAAATGCTATGGAAAAATCAGAGCTACTCTATTGCATTCATAGGTGAATGAGGGCAATTAGTGTTTACATATGAGAGAATTCTAAAGAAAATATGTTATTTTTTTTTCTTTTGTACTTCTTTAGGTAGCCATATGAGAGCATATTACTACAATGCATTTATTCCAATATTTAGCAAGTAAGAATTCTAAAATATTACCAACAGGTTTTCTCTTCCGGTGATTATTACTCTCCTGAATATTTGGTTTGGACTTGAAATCTTACAATCTAAATATCTTGAATTAGTTTTGAATGCACTGGGTAGTCTAAACTTTGTGATGTCTCAGTATAATGGACTTCTGTGAATTACAGTTTTATATCTCACTATAAGCATCTTTCCTGTATTATAGTTATACCTTTTCTTCCCATAGAATATACAATGAGTTATCAGTTACCTCCATAAATTCTAATTATTCTGGATTTTTAAAAACTATTAAGTTAATAAAATGCAAAGGAACAAGGCAGCAATGAAACTCTCCTAAACACATACCTTATTTAATATTTTTGTTGTCGACTCTGTAACAGAGGTCATGCTGTTCTTTACATCAGGAAAAATTTTAGTACAATTTGTCTTTATCTTCAGACACAATGTCAGGCAAGTTATGCTGGCATTCTGTAAAGAAATGTATCCTATTAAATTGGGGATCTATGTTCTATATATAACCATGTTAGTTATTCTTCAAATTAGACGGCAGAAAAGGTCAAGAAAACAGAGCTGTCTCTCTGCAGGGCAACAAGACTGGAAAGCACACAGATGCACACTAGTTACAAATATTGATGCTAATAAACAATGTTTTGTCAAGTTAGGTATACATTATAATCTGGAATGCTTCCTATGATATGTGGTATAATAAATTTCTTTCAATTGAAACTATCCAAGAGTCTACTGATGTCAGGATTAGGATTTCATTCTATTCAAAGCACCTTTTGCAAATTACCTAATAGCAAGAGATTGCTTCTTAAATACACAGCAGACATAGAGGTAATATATTGACCTCTACATGATTTTAAAACAGCTAACAGGAAATTTACTCTGATGAGTAAATGTGTTATGTTGTGTACTGTTACAATGGAATTTAAGCTCCTATTGGTTTTGGTTTTTGTTGTCTCCTACTGCAAGGAAGTCTTTTCTAGCCTGAGATACATAGCCTTTTTAAGGAATGAGGACCACAATACAGCTATTCCTTTTATTTCAGCTAAGCTCTTTCCTTCACTGCATTTACCTGCCTATAGGTTGTATCTATCAAGTTCTGCATCAAGGCCAGGTTACTTGAAGGACTGCTTGCCTCCCATTATATCCGCCCAACCAGTTTGGTCTGGCAGGGGTAGCATTCTCATTATCAAAAATGATTCATTATTAATTGTTGTCTATGATTTTCTCCTTACTAAAGAACTTTAGGCTGAGACAGATTAACTTGGAACCACATAATGAACTCTGTAGTCACATGATGGTTTGGGTTGAGTCTTCCCAGTCCCATTATTACCTACCTCCTTTAGCCTTCTATGTGAAAAACTGCTTCAACAATGAATCCATTTTAAAGTTAGAAATTGCTGAGTACTTTTCGGTCTAATATTTATTTACCCATTCAAATTCGAAGCAGAAAAAAAGTAGCAAGTTTTCACTTCAAATTCAAAACAAAAAACAAAATTATTTTTGCATGGAAGTATGGAAGTCAAATGTTTAAGCCAGATTATTATGAAGATAGTTACAGTATGCAACCGTTATTATAGATGTCAAATTCCATGTAGTGTTGAGAAATAAAGCAATACTTATTCGATGGCTCTGAAAGGCTATTCATCATCAATGTACCTCCTCCCATACTCTTGCCTTGGACAGATTATTTAAATTCCTATCCTGCACAGAAGCAGCAGTGAAGAAAGATTAAAATATTTTATCAGTGCAAAGCCAGAAAGTAATTTTTGTTAATGTATTAAATAAAAAACAAGCCAAACCTTTTAGCACTGTCTAATAGTTGGAAAGAGTATAATTCTCAAAATGCAAGGTACGAATTTGTGTGTGTGTATGTGTGCATACATACACACACACATTATTTATATATATAATTCATAGTTGCACTATACCTTTTTGATGACCAGCCAAAATGGTGGTAAATGAATACTCCAAAATGCTTTCTTAGGCGAAATGTTATAAAACGTCCTTACATTTTGAAAATTCAGATTCAACCCCCAACAATTACATATTGCTACATAAATTGGCTTGTCAAATTACAGACAGATTATCTCATGGCGTATCTTCATTACCTCAAATGAAGAGGGGTAACATCTCCCGTTACAGCTGGATGTGATGTTCTGATTAATTAGTGTCTCCTATAAAAAAAAATCATATGTAAGAAGCACTATATTAATTATTTTACATCTGAGTACTGAATATTACTCTTTAGTTTTAAATTATGTAGTGTTACTAACATATCAATTTAGAGTTATTAATTTTTTAGTTTATTTCTAAATATTTAAATTGTTTTATATGAACAATTAAGTTATCAATCACTAATCATACATGGATATTTTGGAATGCACTAAATACGTGGAAATAATTTTTAAATTTATTATTTTTTCAGTAGATTTGTTTTTCCTGCCTTAATGTTCTACAACTGAAGGTAGCGTGCACAACACTTCCTCCTCCTATTTTTTCCTCACAGCAACCTCTCTGTGAACTAAGAAAATGCCTAGCCCAAAGTCATCTAGCTGACTTCTGTGTCCAAGGATTATAATCCAAGGTCCAGTATCTTAATCACTACACCCACTGTAGATCAAAAGAGATAACCTATAGATATTTCAGTTTCAATAATGGATTCTGTTAGTTAAGTTGAAAGCTTGAAAACAACGGACAGTATCCCACGGAGCTCCTTCTGCTGTTAGGATGCCCTTTCGTCCAGCAGAAGGGGCTATCACCAGAGTTGGAAAGGAACACATTTTCCCAATTGTTCTTACCTATATATCTCCCTGCACCATGACTCCATGATTGCTGTGAAAAGCTCCCAACACCCTGAAGCAGATTTGGAGTTATGGGGCTACAGCATAGAGACAAATCTGCAAAATCATTCTTATTCTCTTGAAAGAAAACTTGTTGGCCTGTAAAAGGACTCTATAATCTTCAGTGGAGGATAAGGGAAGGTTCCAAAGCATCTTAGCACAAACATTTTAACTCCGGTGTCCAATCCAGTGATCAATTCTCAGACAGCAACAAAACAAATCCTAACACAATATACCAAAATCACTACATATTAATACCATCAAAAAACAATGCTTTAAAAAAACCATCCTTATTAAAATATATCACATATTAGCACTAAAAAGATAGATAATTATATATATATATATATATATTTAAAAAATGGAAAAACTACTGCAAGCCTATCCTCTGTACCTGATGCCCTGCAAATAATACAATTTCTATTCACAGACATGCTGGTTAGCTTGCCTTTTTTCAGCAAGTTTAGAAAACAGCATAGTAGAAAAGGCTATTTTATTGAAAGTTATCTACAGTGGGGCAAAAAAGTATTTAGTCAGCCACCAATTGTGCAACTTCTCCCACTTAAAAAGATGAGAGAGGCCTGTAATTGACATCATAGGTAGTAAGTAAGTAAGCTTTTATTGCGGTCAAAGACCAAATTAAAATACACATAGAAGGGGAGTATAATTTTACAAAAATAGATCATGTGACAGTACACCATCTATTGCCTTAGATACACTCTGTACTAACAATACTAGTGATCCTCTGCCGTAGGGGTTACCCGTCTCTTCCCCCGTTTTTTTTCAGCCACGACTGCAGCAAAATTTTTTGCCACCTTTGGAGTTATATTGGGGTCTGTGTCCTGGAGTAGGACATAAAGGCTGAACAGATCAGGTGAACCAGGGAATCTCTGGGAAATAGGAGAAATGAATCTTGATTTTATGTCTCGGTAGTGGGGACATGCGAATGTAATGTGGAACAGATTCTGGGGATCAGCCATCACATGTACAATAGATGGATTTTACTCCCCCCGAGAGCCTACTGTCGAGGACACTCAAGGGGATCACGTTAAATGGTGCCTTCATAAATGCGAGCCTATGTTTGATAGAGTGTAACATGGAGAGATAAGGTGGAGGGTGAGGCAAGGGAACAATACCAAGGGAAAACGATGAGCATGTTCCCGATCCGTTTGCCAGATTTAATTGTCTATCAATGTCATCCAGCCGTTGAAAAATCAACGATTTGGCAGCATCAGGGCCTAAAGTAAAAGCTTCAATGGGGGAAATCCCGATCTTCAAAAGTTTTGTATGGATATTATGGGCCCAGGGACTATGAAAAGAGTCCCGCCATAGGCATTGGCCTAGGTAATAGCCTGGGAGTCTATTCCACAGGGACAACCAATAGCCAATTGCACGTTTCCACAAGATTGTAGCAAGTGAGGATATGTCCAGTTCCAAACGAATTGCGGCATTACTTACGCAGGGAGGGACTCCCATCAAACGGCGTAGGAACTGGCTGTGGACAGACTCAAGAGATGTTGGATTGGACCCATAGGGGGGCACCATAGGTGATAGCAGCTATCACCTTTGCCCTGTAGACTTTTATTGCTGAGGGGATGTGATGAGCCCCCTCAGTATGAAAAAAGTGCACGAGGGCATGGGTGGAAATCTTAGCCTTATTACAGAGAGACTTAACCTGTGCAGGCCACTTGGTATTGAATTGAAAGAGGATACCTAGATATTGAAATCTGTGGACCTTTCCACTGGGATGCAATCAAGGTTCGAATGATAAATTTTCCTGCTTCTTGCAAAAACCATGATTTTAGACTTAGAGTGTTTTATATGCAGTTGGTTAGCAGAGCAATAAGCAGAAAGGATTTTTAAGGCTCTACATAGGCCCACCCGGGAAAATGAAAGTATTGCGGCATCGTCAGCGTAGAGCAGAAGCAGACATCTATAATCAGCTAATCTAGGGGCATGGATGTAGACCATGTGATCCAAAAATGCCTTTCTCTAGTCACTGATATATAAATTAAAGAGAAAGGGTGCCAGTATACACCCCTGCCTAACACCCTTGTTAACTGGGATAGCATTAGAAAGATCCCCCTGCGGGGCAAGGCGCACTTTTGCTTCTGTTTGGTCGTGCAATTGGGAGATAAACCAGAGTAATCTTTTGTCTATACCCCAGGCGGAAAGTTTGGCCCACAACTTAGCTCTAGGGATGCTGTCGAAGGCAGCCTTTAGATCTATAAAGGCAACACAGAGACGACCCTTCCGGGGGTAGAATATTTTACAGCAAGATGGTGGAGGATCAAAGCATGGTCAATTGTAGAATGGTCTGGATGGAACCCCACCTGCTCATAACCGAACAGGTCGGCCTCTTCAGCCCAGCACTCCAGTTTGGACTGGAGATAGCGGGCATAGAGTTTCCCCAAAATTGAAAGAAGACTGATGGTACGGAAGTTGCCAGGATCAGAGTGGGCGCCTTTCTTATGTATTGGGATGATTATGGCATCCTTCCATAGCTTGGGGATAAGGCCCGTTTGGTTGATCGCATTGAATACCTCAGTAAGAACCGGGGTCCACCAGTCCTTATGGGCTAGGATGGCTTCGGCTGGGATGAGATCCGGGCCGGGGGCTTTTCAAAGTTTGAGTTGTCCGATTAGCTTGGCAATCGTGGATGGTTCGACAGGAGGCCATCTGGGAAGATGGTTAGGAAGAGAGCCTGAGGTCGAAGAAACTGGCATGTCAGTGTCATAAAAGACTCGACGTAGAAAGAATTCCCATGTAGTGGCAGAGATGGAATGAGTGAGCCTACTAGTTGGCCTCCTGTTTAACAGACTCCAGAAATCTCGAGGGTTGCTGGATTTTGCGGCCTCTAGTAATGCGTCCCACCTTAGCCGATGCCAGTCTTGCTTAGCTCTTGAAAGGGCTAGCTTGTATGCTTTCTTGGCCTCGAAATAAGCGGGGGGGGGCGTCGATGAACCTGTTCGTTTGTGGGCAGAATATATAAATCTCATATGGTTCCTGGCTTGTTTGCACTGTGAGTTAAACTAAGGGGCTCCCTTCCTCTGGGAAACTCTACCAGGGATAAGGGTAAGGGGCTGAAAGGAGGCTATAAGACCGTTTAGATACTCAGTGAAGGCGGTCAGTAGCACGCCAGGTGTGGCCTTGGTGCCGATTAAGGCTGGCAAGGTATTGGCTGCTTCTTGATGATAAAAGCGTGTGTGGAAAAGGGCCAGAGACTTTGACCATTTCAGCAACATCGGGGAGCCTCTGGGATTAGAGTCTATTAAGGCGTGAGTGGGATGGCCTTGAGATCTATATAGCCGTGCAACTGTAATGAGAGAAAGGTGGTCACTGAAAATCCTGTCGTCTACTTTGAAGGAATGTATGGCAAAAAGGCTCTCGAAACCAAAGTATAGTCTATTGCGCTGTTGCCATTTTTGGCCAAGTGGGTAAATTCCCCACATCTGCCATTAAGGGGGAAAAGGTCTAGTTTGACGGGAAGGAGAGCTAGACAGGTCCCGGCTTTGTCAACTTTCTGATCCTTGGAAACTCTCCCTTTCAGGGTATCCAGGGGATGGTCATCCATGGCCGGGCCTGTCCACCAGCGAGAGGCAACTAAGGTTTCCCAAGTCCCCGCAATGCAGGCGTTTAGATCCCCCACAAGAAGAACCAGAGAATGAGGGAATCTAAGTATGATGGTAATGAGAAAGTCTTCCAGACCGGCCCACAGCTCATCCAAGTCCCAGTGAGAGCCCCCAGGAGGAAGGCAGACATTAAACACCAGGAGCAAGAGCTTCCCGACGGATATCAAATTTGCCTGGGCATAAGGGGGAAGAGAGTTCACAAGAGCCACGTTTGCGTGCAAATCCAGGGAGATACCTGTTGCAAGGCCGCCCTTCGAACGACCACCAAGCAGTGAGGGACAGGCTGGCAGGGATATGATTTCAAAACCACATAGCAAAATGTCATTGACCTCCCATGTTTCCTGAAATATGAGAATTTGAAAGTTTTTGAGGTAGTTCAAAAAGTTCGGGTCGGCTTTTTTGGACGCCCACCCTGCAATGTTCCAACTCATGATGGACCAAGGGAGAGTTGGAGAGTCGATCTTTGACTGTCATTTAGAAGCAACAGGGGGCTGGTGGAGGGACCGGGGAACAGTTAGACGGAAAAAATCTGTTATCTTGCCTTGGTTTCCTTGCTTAGTTTTAGGGTCATTATTAGTTCTTGGAGAATTCTGAAGGGAAGCCAGATTTGGACTGAAGTTGTCGTTCTGGTCTTGGTAGTGGCTTGAATGTCGTACAGGAAGAACTGTCGGGGGAGACAACTGTATGGTGTTGTTGTCATCAAAAGAAATGCAGCCGTTATGTGATTTGGTGATGATGATAGACGGGGAAAGAGGGGGAGCCCGAGGGGTCTGAAAGATCAAACCAGCCAGTTGCGGGGACTGAGAGTGGCATTTCGGGAGGCGAGATTCTCGGAGCAGAAGGGGAACAAGTGGTCAGAGATAAGGGGCCGAGGCCTGATAGGCCTTCAGAATCAGAGGTAGAGAGGGATTGATCTGGGAGCGCAACATTTCTAGTCCGGAGGTCGTCCTCCTGTTGTTGCTGGGTCGCCAACGGAGTTGTGGAACTGGTAGTTGAATCCCTCAAAAGGCTACCAGCTTCCGTGTGAAGGTCCTTGCACTCCGCCCCCGTCCGACAAGTGTCCACGTTGATCGGCTTCCACCCAAGGGAGGATAGATGGATATTTATAAAGCATCTCTGAGGGAAGACTCCAAAGTGGGTCAGATGGTTGCGAAGACCACATAAAAGCGAGGTGGTCTTGGATGAGCTGAATTTGAGAATCAGGCGTTTGTGGTGGAATGTGCTAGGAAGCCATTCCACAGAAAGCAGCTCATTGTTCAGGATGTGAGAATTGGATAAGAGCCTCAATGTGTCTAATATGGTTTTACGGTTGGTCCAGTCTTGCTTGTTAAAGTGAGAATGGGCCAGGTTCAGACATAGGTTGGCTGAGAGCAATTAGAGATTCACTAACGGCGTCAGTCGTGGAGGGACATGGCTATCCATTCGGGACGGGCCTAGTGCATGTCTGTTGGTTCTACATGAATGTGATGCTGAGGCCGACTTACTAAGTCCCCAAAGTGGGATTCTACTTTGCCCTCCAGCACTCCAACAGAGGATGTCAAAAGGGTAATAGAGTCAGCCAGACGGAGACAGAACTGCTGCAAAAGCCGGATATCCGACGGCTAAACTGAGTCATAGGGGACGGCAAAGCAGTGAAACAGGGCAAGACAGAACTAGCATCTGATGGTGTCGGCCAGTCCAGCAAAGAAGGTGTGTTGCAGAGTGAGGCAGCCGGGGATTCCGATTCTTCCAAAGGAGAGGTGGGCAGAGACTCTAGAGATATTAAATTTTGGAAGAATTCGTCCAAGGAAGTAATTGATATGTTCGGATCTTGATTCAATTTCATGGTGTCAGTCTTTTTGATCTTAGGCAAGGGGCCCATTGTGTTTTCAAGGGAGGTCTCCACACAGGGGTCCCTCGGGGACAAGGAACAACGTTTGTGTGGACTCATATCAGGGCAGCCAGTTGATCTCTTGGTGGAGGATATTGGGTAGTAATAAGGCCCAAAGCAGGTTAACGTTCTGATAGTAGATTAAAACAATCCCTGGCTTATAGGGTCCCCCGGTTAGAAACAAATCATATTGGTAAAGCTTCAACGGAGGTCAGCCCATATACATCAAAGCAGTCAGAGCAGTTAAAGCAGCTCATAGGGAACATTTGCCGAGTTGTTCGCAAGCAGTATGAATAATGAAGGCAGGGCGCTGGGCCTAACAAACAGAGATATCAGAAGAATTGCAAAACCGGGCTCGTTGCCAGAGTAAAATGGGAGTTGCCGGGAGAGAGTTGAAAAATTAACTGGTATGCAATTTTGCATTAAAACTCCCTGCAAGAATCGGGGGGGGGGTAGTAAAAGCTGAAAGCACAGTTTAAAAGAAACTGCAATAAAAGACGTAATAAAAACTTAAAAGCCGAGCGAGAGAAGCATATATCCTACCAGTCCTCCATCTTGGAATTCAGCTGGATAATGCAATTCTGAAAACATACTACAAAACATCTGGGAGGATAATTTGCAAATAAATTCTTTCCAAATCAGACAATGTGATTGTCTGTATTTGTTTTCTCATTTTGTCTCTCATAGTTGAGGTCTACCTATGATGTCAATTACAGGCCTCTCTCATCTTTTTAAGTGGGAGAACTGCACAATTGGTGGCTGACTAAATACTTTTTTGCCCCACTGTATATTTAGTAGCAATCTTAATTTTATGAACCAGCACTTACAAAGTGAAGAGGTTTTGATTGACATACAATACCAAGTAATACTTACTGCATCAAAGTTGCCAAAAATCACATATAAGTATCTGAAATCAAAAAGCTGGACACACAAATAGAATTTCCTGGCAACCAACCAACTCCATCTTTTTATATAGCATTGCATGCTAGTCTGTAGAATACATTCAATATTAAAAACAAAGTCTACGGATTTATAGATACATTATTTCACGGGTCTTTCAAAGAGAAATATCTTTTATGGGAAGTAGTTCAGAGTTTGTTTTGCATATAACAGATGCACACAGTATGAGCAAAGATCATACAAATCATACAAATAATTTTCACTTAGTAAATGCCTCAGAAAGCGACCATTTGCAGTTATAACAGTGATGAAAATGTAACTTTGCAACCTATGTCTGCAGTTGCAACCTTCCCAGGAAAGGTAAAAGAAAAATAAATTGAAATAAAATCCTAAGCATAGTTGTAAGATCCTAAGCACAGTTGTCGTCACATTATTTTTTTCATTTAGTAACCACTTGCTAGTCCCAACTATGGTCACTATCTATAGTTGGGTTTGGAATAGGGCACTATTCAATTTCTAGCTCAGGGACACCTTATATTCCTTTGCAGTAACTTGTTACTCATTTTAATTTTGATGGATAGGCAAATTTCTAGATTTTTAAAAAATTTATAAACTTACTACTTTAGTATATTTACTTACTTACTTACATACTTACTATAAGGAGCAGACTGGTTACTCAGTCTAGTCTCAATCCTGTAGAAAAAGGACTGAGAACTAATGCCGGATCATTGCATAATCCAAGTGCATTAAAAAAAGTTACTCTCTCCTATAAATCTAAGAATTTGGCTCACTTTGGAATCAAGTCTTACTGTAGGTCTTATAAAACCCCAGGGAGGGAGAGGATGATCCAGATATTTGGTCCAATTTATTGAACAAATTCCATTGTTCATGCAAGGTCCCCTGTTTGATGCTCATTTTTGCATATTCTGTTAGGAATTCAGGTGATTGTAATCCATTTCAAAAACTCATCAAGCAAAGGCTTGATTTACATGAAATACAAACTGACTTAGGGAGGCAATACATTTGCCTTGAGAGAGGGAAAAAATGACAGTAGAAGTAATTTTTTCTAGATCAGGCAGTAATTGACTCAAATGAACCATTGCAATAGGATCTACATTTCCATCACTATTTATAAGAAGTGGAACAGGCTTAACAGGCTTAAATGCCATCACCTCATTCCCCTTATTAAGGGTATTTTTTTCTTGACCAATACTATATTTCTGTCTGCAAGTTCTACATAAATTATTTCTAATGTCATTTCTTCAGATATCTACGTTAAAACTGTCTTGTAAAGAAATATAGTAGCTTTGTTTTAAATGCAAACAAAAAAATGCTACCCACCAGATGATTAATCATGTTGACTAGAATATTCTCATAATCATTTCGGATTTCAGTCATATCAGATGAGGCTTCTGGTACCAGAACTAAGAACAATGGCAGAATCATGAAGATATACCTTAAAGAAGCTAAATCAGAATTGGATTGTATTACCATGAGCATCAGTATCATACATGCTAACATGCCATAATATTCAATACTACAGAGAGTTCTCAACTTACAACCACAATCAGAGCCAAAATTCCACTGTCAAGCAAGATAGTTGTTAAGTGAGATGCACCCAATTTTATGATCTTTTATGCCACAGTTAAGTGAATTACTGAACTCAAGTGAATCATGCGGTCGTCATAAGCAAATCTAGCTTTCTCCATTGACTTTGTCATAAGCTGGTTGGGAAGGTCTCAAATGGTGATCACATGACACAGGATGCTACAAGTGTTGCAAATACATGCTAACTGCCAAACACTTGGACTTGATCATGTGACTGTGGGGATGTTGCAATGGTTGGAAGTGCAAAGAGTGATTGAAAGTCACTTTTTTGGTGTTCTAACTTCAGTAACTTGCTAAATGAATGGTTGTAAATTGAGGATTACCTGCACTGGAAATACATAATAAATTAGATGTTTAACATACAGCACCAAAGATTGTTTTGCAGTCCCCAGAATCTGTTATGATCAGCTACATACCAAGATCACTATTTTTCAAAATTGCTCCTAAAACTAAGAATAAAGGCACTCTTTCCTCATCTTTTCCTGATTTATAATGTGGCCCAATCCACTATGATACTCAATTCCACACAAAACGTTCAGCTGAGTATTTGCCTACCGAAAGATTGAGTGAAACTTTTAATGTTTATGTAAGCTATTTTCCTGCGCATAGGAGTCCTGTGAGATGAATATTAGTTGCCATTATATTATGGATGATTACAATAAGCCAGATGTTTAAACTGGATTTAGCATTTTTGTCCATCTATCGATGATGATGATGATTTAGCTTTAATTCTATGTTAGCTGTTCTGAGTCACTGTTACAAGGACAGCCATATAAATTCAAATAAATATATCAATAAAGTTTAATTGTTTCTAGAATGACATAAATGAAATAAAGAGTAAGTGGGTATTTGAATGAAAAATTATCTTCAATATATAGAAGAAAATAAAGATCTGTATCCAGTTCTACATAGAACTTTTAAAAGTATTCAGAAAATTTGGGAAAGATACAGAAAAAGATGATAAATTATTAGCAATAGAAACTTCTACCCTGGATAAAAGACAACTAAGAAAATGGGGTTATGGTAGCACTTTTTAAATATTTTAAAAGATAGAAGACAGACCTGTTTTCTTTTGCCCCAGAAACTTAGACAAGGATTTAAATTACAGGTAGGTGGATTCTGCTTAAATATTAAGGACGGTTACTAGCATTATGGACAATAAATTCAATCATGGTGATAAGTGCCTCTTAATTGAATGTGTTCAACACTAGATAGATATTTGAAATGCTTTAATTTGGATTCTTGCAACAGATGTTTGAACTTAATTACTTCAATGGCCCCTTCCGGCTTTATGATTCTATGAACATCCTATATACATATATGACACCTAGTCTCAGAAAACAAAGAGCAGGAGAATTGACTTTTAATTGTCTGTATGATGCTACTTACTGGAAAGTTTACAGCAATCTTTAAAGACTCATTCTAATGAGAGATTCCATGGATGTTGATTTGGTAGCAACCTGCAGCCTCCCCACAATAGTCATTCTTAATTTACTGATTAGTTGGCCAGAACTCAATGCATGTGGGGAAATCTTCGGCAGTTAGTTGACAACTTCAGACACACCTTTACATATGCGCTGTCAGGTAAGAGAAGCTCAACCACTGTCAGTTTCATTTCTCCACATGCCCTCACAATCAGCTGGTTAGGCCAAAGTCCACTTGGCATCTTAGTTCATGCCTGAACTGCTAAATTAATTCTTAATTCTGTACCAATATTTTTTGGCATACAATTTAGTTTCAAAGAGCCTTTAGAGGGAACGGAGAACCATTCACAAATGCTACTATAAATTTAGTCATTGAAAAATGTGAATTCCCTGAATGCTTAAAAAACAGATAGAAAGGATTTTAACTGCATAGTTCATACATTTGCAAAATTTTACAATGGTCCTCAACAGCATAAAAAAACACTATTTTAAGGCATGATTAAGTATTCACTCATTTAATACACTCAAATATATTTCTCTCTGATGAAAATTCAGATTGCATACAGATATGCCAAAACCCTTCAAAAAAAGCAAATCTGGAGGTACTGTATCATGAAAACATGGCCAGATATATTTAAATCAATTAAAATATTTCAAAATGCTTGAGCTCATCAGCACCCTTCAGGATAGATGGCAAAGAAAGCTAGAAACTGAAGGGATAGGTAGGGAAAACTAGGTGATGTTACATCTGTTTTTCATCAGATCTTAGGGTAGTCACTGGAAAAACACTATACAAATTCAATTTAGATATTATTCAGATAAGATGTACAAAAAAACTTCATAAAAGAAGTTCTGATGGTATTAATAGTGATTTTTAACAAACATCCTGATGCATATTAAACAAATGAGATCCATTTCTAAATTTCTGCACAGATGGACTTAAATAATGGATTTACACTGAATTTATAATATTGAGGTGATCACAGAAAGTCTCGTTCTAAACTCCTGTTAATTTAATAATAATGTAACCTTATGTAATGTAATATAGTGCAGTGAGTTGCAATAATAAGTAATTTAAGCAGAGTTTCATGCAAAAATATTTTAACTGAGAGATAAAATGCAGAAGAATAATCATATACTCAAGAGCTACCATTATCAAAAACTACAGCTTCATTTGAATATACACTCTGACAATAAATCAGGGTAAATCCAATGCAGTGCAAATCCAACAAAGATTCCTTATTATCATCCCAGCAACTTGTCTTCAATTGCTAACCTAAATTAAAACTTTAAAAAACTGTTATACCTTCTTTGCATTTCAAGTCCAGTGCACAATGAATTTTATTTATTTATCCAATTTGTACAGCTGTCCATCTCACAAAAAGGGAACGTACAGTACAACTATCAAATAAAACAACAGATTAGAAACAACAGATATGAGTTTTAGAGCTCTTAGTTTCTTACTTTACTTCTGTTGCACTTTTGATCATGTTTAGGCAAGAACTAAATCTGCCAAACAGATATGCACCATTTATGACCTTTTAAAAGAAATATTATGCCTAATTCCAACTCATTACAGCTGTGGAACTCAGTATAATAGGAGAAGATAAAAGTTGCATTGTAATACAATGAAGCTCAGAAATACTGTATGTCAGGACTCACAGGACAAAAACTCTTGAGTCTTCAGACAAAGAACAATAGATCAGGTTTAAAAGAAAACAGCCTACTTATAAGAAGAAAGAAGATATAGATAGTATTCAATTTATGAACACAATTGAGCCCAAAATTTCTGTTGCTAAACGGGACAGTTGTTAAGTGAGCTTTGCCCCATTTTACCACCCTTCTTGACACAGTTATTAAGTGAATCACTGTAGTTGGTAATAAAATGGTTGTTAAATGAATCTGGCTTTCTCATTGACTTTGCTTGTCAGAAGGCCGCAAAAGATGGATCACATGACCCAAGGACACTGCAACCATCATAAATACAAATCAGTTGTCACCTTTTTTAGTGCCATTGTAACTTTGAACAGACACTAAATGAAATGTTGTAAATCAAGGAGTACCTGTAGTCTACCTATAGCCATGACTCCTTACTACAAGAAACTGAAGCTAATCTTTGCCAACTTGCATCTTTAATTCAGGAAATGTGATTCAGGTTATGGAAAAGGACTGAGTGTGGAAATAACAATACCGCAAGTAAATGGAGAGATTTGGCTTCTTCATTACCTGGATGGCAAAGCCAGTGCTACCACATTATATTTCATACTCTGGGAACAAAGTCCTTGGCTGAAGCATATTAAATGTCATTGGGAGCTTTGAAGATGAATTCTTCAAAGCTCCCAATGGACAGAAATCCAGAACAAATATAGAATAAAATTAATGTCCTTTGCTGTCACAAAGTCATGCTTAAAATACGTAAAGTAAGCAAAATGAGCTTAAATTCTAATATTGCAGAAACGTAAACATGATGTTAATTGGATAAGTGAGACTTGGTAGAATGATTCCCTGAATGGAACAGGCGAGAAATACAATTTGTTCAAAAGGAACAGAAGCAATAAAAATTGAGGAAGAAATGTATATGGTAAAAATAGCTACAGCTGCTCAGAAATCCAAGGAAATGAACTTGTTGATCCTGCTGAAAACAAACAATTCCGATAAATGAAGGAATGTTTTATCTTCACTACTACTCAGCCTATAGAAGAGATGTGAATTATCACTTCCACAAGCAAATGGAAACTCTTTTGAAACTCATGCAGTTACAGAGATGATGGGTTTTAATTACCCCAACATCAGCTTGGAAACAAATTTTGGCAAGCGCAATTCTAATTTTAAAAAGGATGAATATATCAGCTGGTCAATAAATACAGCAAGAACATAGCATGTTGCCATTTCTACTAAGGCTCACTTTGCTCTGAAAACAGTATATATGTTTCACTAAGCCATTATGAGAAACTGGGGGATGGAGGAAGATTCCAAGTCAGGCCTGATAGTAATATAAGGCAAGGGTTAGGACCTTGATCTTCAACTTTACAGGGATTTACAAATCATCCACAGGCACTGGTACGGTAGTTGTCTAGTCAAATACCATCTGTTTTCTTTGAGAAAGTAAAAAAAATGCAGGGGTTGACATCCAATAAATGTAAGGTGACCAGACGTCCCGCTTTTGGCGGGACAGTCCCGCTTTTGAGCAATTTGTCCCGCGTCCCGCGGCGTTTTAAAAAAGTCCCGATTTTTCATTCTGCCTCCTGAGTCCCGGCTGCCTCCTGAGTCACCGCTGATGGCTAGAGGAAAAAAACCTGTTTAAACTCTTGCCGCGGGGCTTCAAAGGGCCGCCCTACGTTGATTAGCTCTGATTTGCGCAGGGCTCTGCTCTTGCTAAATTGCTCAGCAGTTTTTTTTTTTCTCTTTGTGCAAACCAAGCTCAAAACGAAACTGAAAGTAAAACAGGCTATTTGCTTTGCTGTTTGCTTGCAACGTTGGAAAATTAGGCAGCAGATTTATTTTCCTTTTCCTCACCAAAAAAGGTAGGTGTAAACAATGGGAAATTATTTAGGGCAAAAGAGGAGAGTTCAAGATTTTAAAACACAAAAGAAAAAAAAGCTCTTTTTAACTAGGGAATTGTAATAATTGAGATACTATTAATACTGTATACTGTGTTGAAAGCAGAAATGGTTAAGTTGTGGTTTGGAGGAATATATGGGGGAAATTATTTGGTTTATTATTATTGGTAAATATAATTAATTGATTTGTAAGAAATTGGATTGCATGGAAATAATTGGAATATTCATGTTCATATTGATTAATATACAAAAAAGATAGTTATATAACTAATTGATTTATATTAAAATGTTGAATTTGTATTAAACAACTCATATTACATAATTAACCAATGTGAGGATGGATATAAAAATAGATGACAATGGGAAGGGGTATAATATAGAATAGAAGGGAAAAATTGAATTTGATTAAGATTAGAGATGAGGATGAAGGGTAATATTGTTTTTTTAAAAAAATAGATGAGGAATAAATATGGCAAAAAGGAAATATAGAAATTGTAAATTAAATTGAAATGACTAAACACTGTTTAAATTTGTGAACCAGCCAAATATTCTGTTCAAAGAAAATACATTGTATGTTTGTATGTGTGTTTCTAATTATTGCTATTTATTCATATTTGTTCTCTTTTATTCTTTAAAGTTTAACAATTCATTCTTTATCTTAATATCTTTATATTTGTTTGGGGTTGGCTTTCTTCCCTTTCATCTTTTTTATTGTACAGCAATCTTTCTCCTCAAACCTACCACCTCTCTTTTCTTTCCTTCTTACTTTCTCTTCCCCCCACCCTCTTCTTCTCCTCCCTATTTCCTCTTCCTTTCTCCTTCTCCTCCTTTCTTCCTCCCTCTCTTACCGTCACTCCTACTCTAATTTCCCTTCCCTTCCTTCATCCCTCTCTATTACTGTATCCTTTTATGCATATGGACTACTCAGAGGGCTGAAAAAGTTATTTTTGACTGGTCCTCACACTTTTGACCAGTCCTCGAACTTACGACTGTCCTCACATTTTACGTTTTTGCCCTATCTTGTCACCATGGTGAAGAGAAGCAGTTGTGAAATGAGTGACATGGTTGTTAAGAATGCTGCACGGGCATAAATGTGAGGATGGTCATAAGTGTGAGGACCAGTCAAAAGTGTGAGGACCTGTCAGAAATGACTTTTCAGCCCTCTGAGTAGTCTCTATACACATAGCCATGGCCACCCAGTCACATGACCAGCTAGCCACGCCCACCCAGTCACATGGCCTCCAAGCCACGCCCACACAATAAACCACGCCCACAATGGTGTCCTAACCAATGTTAAAATCTGTTCACCTTACCCTATACACATAGCCATGGCCACCCGGTCACATGACCAGCTAGCCACGCCCACAAAATAAGCCACGCCCACAATGTCCCTCTTTACCAATGTTAAAATCTGGTCACCTTAAATAAATGGGAAGATTTTGGATTTGACAATAAATTTTTTGCTCTCTAAGTATCATGAAATTAATGGAATTATTACTAATATTCAGCATAACTCTATCAAAACACACCATTGTTAAATTTGGTTTTTAATTTTGTTTCATCCTAGCAGGAACCCTATGGACAAAATACATCAAAATTTTTGAAAAAGTGTTCCTGATAATACAATTATAATTAATAATATACTGCAGTATGGACTTGGAAAAAAATATACAAACCAGAGTGAGGTATCAGGCAGGATACCAGAGGATTCAGATCCTCTGTCCGGTATTCTTCCACATTTTCATGAACAACTTGGATGAAGAGAGAAAGGGAACATGTATTAATTAGAACTGTAGATGACATAAAAGTTATCACAAAGCTAATACATTAGAACAGAGAAATAGCAAGCAAAATTATCTTGAAAGGTTAAAGAAATAGACTAAAAAGAACAAAATGACATTAAATGAATATAAATTCAAATTTTTTTTGGCTCAGAAAAGGGAATCTAACATATAGTAATGGGGTTTGGAACAGTGTGTGTGAATGTATATCTAAAATTATACATAACATGCTGAATATGAGTCACCAGTATGGCATAACTGCTAAAAGTCTGGTTTCAGGCCTGGGCACAGCACGGAAACGGCATTGGTCGCGTTAGTTGATGATCTCTGGAGGGCTCGGGATAGGGGTTGCTCCTCTGTTCTGGTCCTGTTAGACCTCTCAGCGGCTTTTGATACCATCGACCATGGTATCATGCTGCACCGGTTGGAAGAGTTGGGGATGGGGGGCACCGTGTTACGATGGTTCTCCTCCTTTCTCTCCGACCGGTCACAGTTCGTGTTGGCAGGGGGGCAGAGGTCGACCTCGAGGCCTCTTATATGTGGAGTGCTTCAGGGGTCGGTCCTCTCGCCCCTCCTGTTCAACATTTATGTGAAGCCGCTGGGTGAGATAATCCGTGGCTCTGGGGTGAGCCACGTACGTTGATGACACTCAGCTGTACATCTCCACCCCAGGCCACCCCAACGATGCCCTTGAAGTGATGTCCCAGTGCCTGGAGGCTGTACGGATCTGGATGGGGAGGAACAGGCTCAAGCTCAACCCTTCCAAGACTGAGTGGCTGTGGTTCCCGGCATCCCGATATAGTCAGTTGACTCAATCACTGACTATTGGGGGCGAGTCTTTGGCCCCCACAGAGAGGGCTAGCAATCTGGGAGTCCTCCTGGATACGCAGCTGTCCTTGGAGGAACATCTGACGGCTGTAACCAGGGGGACCTTTTATCAGGTTTGCCTGATCCGCCAGTTGCGGCCCTTTCTTGATCGGGATTCCCTGTGCACAGTCACTCATGCCCTCGTAACCTCTCGCCTTGATTATTGTAATGCTCTCTACATGGGGCTCCCCTTGAAGAGCACCCGGAGGCTCCAACTGGTCCAGAACGCAGCAGCGCGGGTAGTGACGGGAGCAGCATGGCGCTCCCATGTAACACCGCTCCTGCGTGAACTGCACTGGCTCCCGGTGGTCTTCCGAGTGCGCTTCAAGGTGTTGGTTATCACCTTTAAAGCGCTCCATGGCATAGGGCCTAGCTATCTTCGAGACCACCTGCTGCCACCGACGACCTCCCATCGACCCGTGCGCTCCCACAGAGAGGGCCTCCTCGGGGTGCCATCAGCCAAACAATGCAGGCAGGTGACCCCCAGGGGGAGGGCCTTCTCTGTGGGGGCACCTACCCTCTGGAATCAGTTGCCCCCAGAGATAAGGAGAATCCATGACCTCAGTGCCTTCCGCCGTGCCCTTAAAACCTTCTTTTTCCAACAAGCCGGGCTGGCCTAATTCTTTTTAGTGTTTTTAATTGTTTTGTTTATCGTTTTAATTAATGGGGCCAAATCTATATATATATATTTAACTGTATTTTAATATTTGTATTTGATGTTTTTATTTGGCTGTTCACCGCCCTGAGTCCTCAGGGAGAAGGGCAGTATACAAATTCAAAATAAAATAAAAAAATAAAATAAAAAGACAAGCATAATTTTAGGCTGCTTCCAAAGAAATTAAATTTTCAAATCACAGGAAGTAAGTTCCATTTTATTCTACTTCCATTCTGAGACTACATTTTAAGAAATAATTAGGGAAACTGGAAAAAAAATTTTAGAGAAAAGCAAAACAGATGATCAGGAACTGGAAATTAAATCTTACATGGAAAGAATATGGGAACCCAGATTTTTCAGTTTTGAGAAAAGATTAATAAGATTCCTAACAGGAAGGAATACACAACAGAAAGTCAAACTCAGCTTCTATTGTCTCAGAATGCAAGACATAAAATAATATTCTCCTCCTATCTCTTTATAAAAAATTGGATGTCAGCTGATAATGATTAGAACAATTTAATAGTGGAAACAATTATTGAAGGAGGTTTCTTGAAGAAAAAGCCAATTAGCCAGCAGGCCACTTATCAGGGATTCTCTAAGGTGGATTCCTAGTATGAGCAGTGAATTGGATAATAGCGTCTTGGCCCCTTCAAATTTGTATTTCTGTGAATATCTAAACATACAATATTTATTGGCGGGGAATACAATAATAGGATTCAATAAAAATGACAATACTATCAATATAGATCATTTTATTTTTCTTCTATAGAATAGAATAGAATAGAATAGAATAGAATAGAATAGAATAGAATAGAATAGAATAATTTATTGGCCAGGTGTGATTGGACACACAAGGAATTTGTCTTGATGCATACGCTCTCGGAGTACATGAAAGAAAAGATACATTCGTCAAGAATCATAAGGTACAACATTTAATGATTGTCATAGGGAAACAGTCAATATAAATCTTAAGGATACCAGCAACAAGGTTAGTCATAAGTGGTAGGAGATGGGTGATAGGAACGATGAGAAGATTAATAGTAATGCAGACTTAGTAACTAGTTTGACAGTGTTGAGGGAATAATTTGTTTAGCAGAGTGATGGCGTTCGGAAAACAGCTGTTCTTGTGTCTAGTTGTTCTGATGTGCAGTGCTCTATAGTGTTGTTTTGAGGGTAGGAGTTGAAACAGTTTACGTCCAGGATGCAAGGGGTCTGTAAATATTTTCACAGCCTCTTTTTGACTCGTGCAGTATACAGGTCCTCAATGGAAGGCAGGTTGGTAGTAATTGCTTTTTCTGCAGTTCTAATTATCCTCTGAAGTCTGTGTCTGTCTTGTTGGGTTGTGGAACCAAACTAGACAGTTATAGAGGTACAGATGACAAACTCAATAATTCCTCTGTAGAACTGTATCAGTGTTCTGCCCCAGCTCTGGATTTCCAAGAATATTGACACACACCAACAGTCCTTATCAAATTTATTAAGTAGCAAGAATAAACAAGACTGGCAAAGGTTGGCAACCAGCCCAGAAAACAAGATATGATAAACCAAAATACTCTGATTATAAATACGAGTTGTTTCCAGCAAGAAGCATGAGACTTAAATAGGCTAAGGGAGTGGCCAATTATCCTCAAGCCTTACTCTCGAGTAGACCTCCGCCTCCTGAGTAGCCACTCCTGCCTTTTGGCGGCCCTGTGTGCTCGCGTATTGAGGAGAGGCTCCTCCACTTCGCTCTCTCTACTTGAAGGAACCTCTGGAGGTTCTGAAGGCCCTGGCTGAGTCTCTGCCTCTGGCACCACATCCTCTTCAGCCTCCTCACTGTCCGACATGAGCGCTGGCTGCGCAGGCTGCTGGCGCGACACACCAGCCTCCTCTTCATTGGGATCAGCCACGATCTGCGCAGGCCACTGGCAGGCCACAACAATCAGCAGGTCTTTGGGCAATTTGAGCTTTCTGAGTTGGCGCAGAAAGAACATTCTTTGTTGTGCCTTTTTGATGACATTTTTATTGTTGGGTGTCCATTTTAGGTTGTGAGATATGGTAGAACCTAGAAATTTGAAAGTCTCTACTGTTGATACTGTGTTGTCTAGTATTGTAGGCGGTGGTAGTATGGGAGGGTTTCTCCTAAAGTCCACCATCATTTCTACGGTTTTGAGTGTGTTCAGTTCCAGATTGTTCTGTCACACCACGAGGCTAGTTGTTCAATCTCCTGTCTGTATGCGGATTCATCGTCTCGAATGAGACCAATCACTTTTGTGTCATCTGCGAACTTCAGTAGTTTAACAGATGAATTGTTTCGCTGATTAAAACTCAGCATACTAACCATTATTTAATCAACTTTTATTAAATAAACCATAAATGGCCAGCCCCAAACAAACCAAATGAGTCAAATAATGTTTTAACACAATATAGAAAGCAGATTTAATGAGAAAAACTCTATGAACTTGTGCTGCTTAGAATAAACCTAAAGGATTGTTCTTATTGAGTTCATGTACTATTTTGAACTCCTAGAAACCTACAGCAATAAAAACACTATTAGAAATACTGTAGGAAGATACACAGATCTTTTATAATTATAGTACTTCAAATCTAGATTAGGTTGAGTAACTGTGATAGCATGAGCCTTGGTAGCGCAGCAGACTAAAGCACTGTTAAGTAACAGCAGTTGCCTGCAATTACTGCAAGTTCAAATCTCACCAGGCTCAAGGTTTGTAGAGTGACCATGCACACACAAAGGTTGAGGATATATGTGGTGATTTTATTGTCTTACATAGTGACATTATATAGTTTGTTACTTTCAAGTTACAGCGTACTTGGCAGCATCTCATTGGCTACAGAATCTTCCAGGTAACTAGAGTCTTTGGTTAACCATTACTGCTTTGCTTAAGCACTTATAATGTTAGACTTTAATTAAAGTCTAATACACATATATCCCATTTCCTCTCCTGCTGTTCCTCTTATTTACAGAGTTAGGGTCTTAATGCCTACGTGCAAATAACCTTCCTTATCTGAGGTTTGCCCTCCAAGATAGGAAAATCCCTGCACATATGCAAACTGCAGACCCCTACAAGGTTGACTCAGCTTTCCATCCTTTCGAGGTAGGTAAAATGAGGACCCGGTTTGTGGGGGCAATAAGCTGACTTTGTATAAAAAAGAACACCGCTTGGGGGGGCCCGAAAGCCCTACTAAGCAGGTATATACAAAAGTATGAAGGCTATTGCTTAACGCATTGTAAGCCGCCCTGAATCTCTGGAAAAGGGCGGCATATAAATCGAACCAATAAATAAATAAATAAATGAATGAATGAATAAATGAATAAATAAATAAATAAATAAATAAATATTGTGTCACTATTGTGATCCTTGGAAATAAGTCCCACTGAGTCCCACTGAAATGACTCCCTCAGGGGAGGCCTGGTGAACATCTTAAAGCAGAGAAGACAAATGCAACAAAGACCAAAGAGCCAACAAGTGGACCAATTCTTCAGAACCTCTCTGGACAAGGAGAAGATAAAGATCGGCCACATGCTCCAGATAGATAAGAGAAGTTTCCTGTGGGTCTGAGTGCTAGGAGATGAAGAATTTATCATGTTTACCATCTTAGCTAACCTTTCTAATCAATGTCTGAAATTATTTATTTACTACTCTAAGGCTATAAAATTTTAAACTTAAATTTTAAAGAATTGGAAATAAATGGCAAAAACCTCGATTAAGATTTTGATCTTAGGAAATTATACATGATTTAAGGATCTAGGTAAGTTTAAGGATCTAGGTAATATTGAGACTTTTACTGTAAGATTTTGTAAATGATTAAATTAAATAAACAGCATTTTATGGGAACTGGGGTATTTTGTCTAAGTTGTACGAGAGACTGAGTTCAAAAATTACACACTAGAGAGACAAAAGATTCCAGACAGAAAAAAAGTGTAAACTTGCATTTGGTATGGCAACTTATAAAATGACGTAAGGCGCTTTAACATTCTAAACACTTCAAGAGATTTTCAAAGAATGGGACTAGACATTAGTAGCTATCACCTCAGAAATGTCAGCAATGTTGTTAATTTATCAGATGAAGATTAAAACAAGACTTTTTTCTATACACCTCTGGTAGCCCTTTAGAGACATTTTTCTGACATCAGGACTGAACAGTTGATGATTTATGATTTGCATATAAATAAGAAATGTGTTATGGGAAGAGATATGTGTAACCTTATAAGAATGAAGACTTATCTAATGCTATCTAATGCTGGGAATGATTGAGGGCAAAAGAAGGGGACAACAGAGAACGAGGTGGCTGGATGGAGTCACTAAAGCCATCGGTGTGAGCTTAAATAGACTCCAGAGGATGGTGGAGTACAGGAAAGCCTTGAAGAACGTTATCCATGGGGTCGTGATGGATCAGACACGACTTCACGACTGACAACAACTTTCTTTCTATTTCTCCTTTTTCAGAGTTGATTTTACTTTTATTATTGTTACTAAATCTTTAACAAAAATTATGGAAAAAATCCCAATGAGTTTAATACAGATTATTCTTAAAATAGTATAATTAAGATTATGTTCTTCCATGAATTTAACTAGTAGTACGTATAATTAAACTCAATAGGATAGTTGAATAATCCCACATAGACTGTCAGCAGCTACTTTCAGTGCAATTGGACAATCAACCACCCACCTCTTTCCTACATGTGTTGCACATATTGAAAACACATGGGATTGTAGCTTCCTAAGTAGCATTTAGAACAGGGGTTCTGAACCCTTGGGCCATGGCCCACTATTGGGCTGCAGCGCGTTTGGGACTGGGCCATGCAAGTGGTAGTTGATCACATGCATGCAAAGCTTGCAGCAGGAGCTTGCACTCACGCACGATGCTCCCGTCGTGCTTGCACATGAAGTACTCCTTGCACAAGGGGTGTGCCTGCCCGTCATTCACAGGGAAGGTTGGAAACTGCTGATTTAGAAGATACATATTGGTAATTCTTGACTGGCTTGCCCTTCTGCCCAAATAAAATAGTTGCTTCTGAAAAAAGGTTCCCACTTTATATTCCATTAGGCACTACAAGTAAACAGGTAGTCCTAAATTTATAACCATTTGTTTAGTAACTGTTACGACACTGAAAAAAGTGACCTACAACTGGTCCTCACACTTATGACTGTCACAGCATCCCCATGGTCATCTGACCAAAATTCAGATGCATATATTTATGATAATTGCAACATCCTCGGATCAGGTGATTGCCATTTGCAACTTCCTCAGACAACTTCTGACAAGTAATGTCAATGAGAGAAGCCAGAGTCACTTAACGACCGTGTGACTCACTTAACAACTGCAGTGATTTGGTTAACAACTGTAGCCAACAAAGTTGCAAAATCAGGCATGACTCATTTAAAAACCACCTTGCTTAGCAATGGAAATTCTGGACCCCATTGTGGTGCATGTGGTCATACATCAAGGGCTACCTGCAGTGGTGGGATTCAGCCAGTTCGCACCACTTTGGGAGAACCGGTTGTTAACTTTCTGAGCAGTTTGGCAAACTGGTTGTTGGAAGAAATCATTAGGGCAGAGAACCGGTTGTTAAATTTCTTGAATCCCACCACTGGCTACCTGTATATAAAAAAGTGACGATACTAAGGAAGACAGCACTCTGACTGGGTAATCCATTGGGGGTGGGTACTGTATCATTAACACAATCCTCAGCACATTCAGAAATAATTCTTAATTTCAACCTGCTCCTAAACAGTAATTTCTTACATTGTTTTTACAGCCAGTTCAACAATTCAGAGAGATTAGGGATTCGTGAGCATGTGAATAAACATGCAATTGAGCAAAAAGCTGGCAGGAGCAAAGTTACACAGAACTCCCATCAATGAATAGCAAATGAATGGGGAGCCACAGTTTATATATACCTTTCCAATACAGTATTCTGATCGTCAGCTGGCAACTTTATTGAATTAGCGGGCATAGTCCAATCATTTCTGGGAACTAAAAGCAAACATTGGAACTTGGCAGTTTTATAATTCTCATTCAGCCTGGATGCAATGAAACTGAAACATGCTTCAGCTCAGACACATGACTTCCAGAAAGCCTAGCAGAAGGAAGGTAACAGGCAGCCCCATAGATTTTAGCAAGCATTACAAGCCTCTTTTCCCCTTTACCTTACTATAGATTAAGCTTCTGTTAAAATAAAGAATGTGAGTAAAGACAAAACCTATGATTTTTCTATCATAATAGTTTAATAGGAAATAAACACTTTTTAAAATGTTATCTTTAGCAAACATTCGAGGGAATGAAAACTTCTGGGATTATATTGAGATTATGACAATTCAGAGCCTATTACATTTTTCTATTTGACATTTGAAAAGAGCAGGTTACCTGCTTGCAAAACGTCCAGGGGACCCTGATTTTGGTTCAAACTCTGTATGTCTATAAATCTTCTCTATACCTCCCTTGTTGTTGTTTTTCTTTATGGAAAACCACAGGCCTCTTCTTCAAATTTATCAGAATTATCATCGATTGGCTACTATCGGGAATTCATCTCAAACGTGACTGCTTTTGAAATGTCACCTTCATCGCTATGGCCTTTTAATTTTAATTTATTTATTTTAACTTTAGAAAGGTTTATTGGAGGGGAAAGGCGAGAGATAAACCGAAAAAAAAATAGCGCGAACGATTCGTGCACACAAGCCCCGATTCAGTTTCGGTCTGCAGAACCCACGCCGCAGCAGCTGGAATTTGGCCCGGCTAAGTCGGAAAGAGGTGGGTTTTCTCGGTATTCTGGGTGTGTGAAGCCGCCGGAGGCTTCCCAAACAGGAGCCAAAATACCCTGAGGGTTAATGACAAGGGTTCGTTCCGACCTGCCTTGCTCTTCTCACTATCCATTCCCTTGGCTTCCCCTCGGGACATTCCGGGTATTTTGTTCCCTGAGCTGCTGGGAATAAGGTGCTTCCACTTTCATTCTCTTAGAAATTGGGAAAGCCCCGCCGGTGGCTAAAAGGGATAAAAGGCGAGGCGCAAGCCCGCAAAACCTGACACCACACTCGGCGAAGCTGCTGCAGAGAAGGACGCCGAGAACGGCGCGGGCCGGGAAGAAGCCAGGTGGGTCGCAGGCTGAGGGGGCGGGAAAGGCTCCTCCGCTCCTCCGTCCGCCGACGCCTGGCCAGCCCAAAAGAGCGCGTGGCGCACGCTCTTCCCGGATATGGAGACGCGGCTGAGGGCGCGCCATTCGCCTTACCATGGGACATGGTCCGCGAGCCGGACGCCGCTTGCTCATGATGGAGCCGGAGTCACGTCCATGGCGCTACCGTCCCGGTGCAAAATCCTGGCCGCGGCGGCGTCTTGTGCTGAGGGCTGCGAACGGCCAGCAGAACGAGCTTTCCGTAATAATTAACATTAAATAAAAAGGCTGGGCGGGGAGCCGTCCTACAGCCTCGCCTTTAGACCACTTTGGGGCTTAGTTGAAGCGGAGGGGAGAGGAAAGCTTGCGGAGCCGCTCTTGGAGCCGAACCAGGCTTGCCCTTTTTTTTTTTTTTTTAAACCGCCGAGAACTTCCGTATGAGCCGAACTAGTTTCGCTTTCCGGCCGGAACGAGCGCCGCTAGTTTCGGAAGGTTTCTTTCAGCTTTTCGAACTCCCGGCTGCGGTCGAGTTGCGCATTTTTCCACCTGCCGAAAGAAGCGCGGAAAGGCGCGCGCCCACTGCGCGGCGCGGATGTTTGCGCCCTGCCTGGCCCGCGCGGTCTTTGCACCGCTTCCTCCGCTCCCTCCCGCTATTCTCCTTGCTCGCCGACGGGCGTCGATGGAACTGCTGGGGACTTCTCTCCGGGATGAAATAGCCCGATGACAAAGGAGGTGGGATCACCCTCGTCTCCACTCCACCAGAGGGTTTGCCAAGGCTCCGTTTATGCGTGGAAAGAACCATTAGGGAAAATGGCAGCAAGTGCAACGCTGGGGCGGGGCGGGGGGGGAATCCTCCCAAAGGGAGTGGGCTGGCAAGTTTCAGTTCCCTGTCGGTATTCAGGCTTCGCGAGACATGTGGCTCTTCTCTATTCATCCCTGCTCCCCCTTCCCGCAAACTGATCCCTGACCTCCTATCCTTTTTGTGCTCTGAATAGAATAGAATAAAATTCTTATTGACCAAGTGTGATTGGACACACAAGGAATTTGTCTTGGTGCATATGCTCTCAGTGTACATCAAAGAAAAGATACATTCGTCAAGAATCATAAGGTACAACACTTAATGATAGTCATAGGTTAGAAATAAGCAATCAGGAAACAATATCAATATAAATCATAAGGATACCAGCAATCAGGTTACAGTCATACAGTCACAAGTGGGAGGAGATGGGTGATGGGAATGATGAGAAAATTAATAGTAGTATACCTCTGTATCCTAAATAAAAAAGAGTATGGAATAATCTGGAGTTCGTATCTGCTTTGGCATGAATGTCCCTAAGCATTCCCTAAACTTTCAAGAGACTTGAAAGTCCCTAAACTTTCAAAAGACTTGAAAGTCCCTAAACTTTCAAGTCTTTTCTGGCCCCATCCTTCTATTTGGTGATAGTTACTACAGTTGTGTTTTGAAATTTGTGTGTGGGAGAGGGAGACGGAGAGGAAGGGAGAGAGAGAGAAAGATCTCAAGATCAGACGGACAACTATATGATATAAATTCTGGGCTGAGAGCTTGAGATCCCACTTTGTGTCTAACCATAGCACAAACTCTTCTTTTTCTTCCTGCATGTTCATATCCCAGCGATATCTAAAGTTATCCTCATGTGTACCACTATTACAACCCCCTTTCTCCTGATCCAGATATTGCCATGGATATAATCTGATCTTCAGTCAGTGACACAGTCAAGTGACTCCCCTCGCCACATGGTAGGATCCAGTTGACACCATACTCTTCTCTCCCCAGTACAAAATCCCATCCTCAGGGACCATTCTGCTTCCAGCACTGGAAGAGTCCCACTCTTTCAGACCAGACTCTCCCTCATATCCTGCTCAGAAACTTAATTCAGCCTGAGCATTAACTGATCAGCAAGGAAGTATGGGAGTTTAAAGTCAAGCAGCAACAACTCTCCTCAAGCCTATCAGTTGTTCTTTACGTTGCTTTTCAGCTCGGGGCTAACATAATTGCAGAGCAGCGCTAAATCTGCGTTCAGGGCCATTAGTTTATTTACATATCAAGTGTCCTTTTTCAGCGTAATCCTATATTCAGAAGAATGGTAGTAAAGGGATGTAAACTTGGCTCTGGGAACGGGAAAAGGATAAATGAACTATTAAGGGAGGAGGAGAAGAGATGGTTCAGAAAATATTACTTAGACCTGAGAAAGAAGAAAATATAAGAAACAAACTCAAGCCTGTCCTTTTTTTGAATGTAAGACATAGCAGAGACAAACTCTGACATATTTCAAGATTATTCATATATCCTACAACAATAAATGCCATTTGGAATGGAATGGAATGGAATTCTTTATTGGCTAAGCGTGATTGGACGTCTCCTGTGCATAAGCACTCAGTATATGTACAAGCAACAAGTGATAAATCATGATCATAGTTGTCACAAAAACACATTCATCATAAATCATTAGATACAATACTTAGTGATAGTCATAGGATACTGAATATGCTACTGTACAACTTATTCAAGAGTATGTCCAAATCTTCAGCTAAGAGGAAGAGTAGGTGGGAAATCCATTCTACAACTGTTTTTCAATGTAGCATTGTGTGTAAAGTAGTGTAATGTCTCCGTCCATAAGAAATTACCAAGCTAAGAGCCATTCAAGTGTAGAAAGAAACTATGGCTAAAAGTTGATGATGGCATCCATTCAGTCATGGCTGACTCTATAGTTAGAAGCTAGGAGTGTGTAATAGTAATGTGCCTTGCCAAGGATGGAAAAAAGGATTGCATCATGTGATCATGGATCATTTTAAATGTTGAGGACTAAAGGATTCAGAGAAAATTGGACATGAGTTTCATAAATTTATGGCAGTAAAAAAATAAATCCGAACATATTCTCAGCACTGGTGACGAGTTCTGGTGAAGCATCGGCTATGTTTCTCCTTTAGTAAATTTTACTATATGAAATGCATTGTCTTTTGCTGAAGTATCATTGAAGCAAAGACTTGTCTTTAATAGAATTTAGCTGCTTATCTGAGTTTAAAGAAGAAATGATGAAATAAGGCAAATAGGGAAATGTTTCTGATACCATTTCCACATTGCCTATATATACTTAATAACCTGTTTCCCTTTTCATTTACATTGTATTCTCTACTCTGGTTTTCAGATCTTTGTGCAAAGATTTGTACTCTGGTTTTTGATACTGTTTTTCTTTCGCTCTTTCTTACTGGAATTTTCTAGAGCTTCCTTTTCATATGTAACTTTTTAAGGAGCTCTTGCTAATGATTCTTTTTCTAACAGCATCTTCTTTTGATTCTTTTAATTCCATTTGTCCCAGAATCTGGCTAACCTAAAACCCTTGAGTACTTCCTGCAATATGAGAACTTACGCTCATTTCGCTTATGTTACATATTTTAAGCATGAGTATGTGATAGCAAAGGACATTAATTTTATTCTATATTTGTTCTGGATTTTTGTCCCTAAACCCCCAAGAATTAATCTTCAAAACTCCCAATGACATTTAATATGCTTCAGCCAAGGACTTTGTTCCCAGAGTATGAAATATAATGTGGTAGCACTGGCTTTGCCATCCAGGTAATGAAGAAGCCAAATCTCTCCATTTACTTGCAGTATTGTTATTTCCACACTCAGTCCTTTTCCATAACCTGGATCACATTTCCTGAGTTAAAGATGCAAGTTGGCAAAGATTAGCTTCAGTTTCTTGTAGTAAGGAGTCATGGCTATAGGTAGACTACAGGTACTCCTTGATTTACAACATTTCATTTAGTGACTGTTCAAAGTTACAATGGCACTGAAAAAAGTGACTTATGACCATTTTCACACTTATGACCATTGCAGCATACCTGTGGACACATGATCAAAATGCAGGCACTTATCAACTGACTCATATTTATGACGATTGCAATGTCCAGGGGCCATGTGATCACCTTTTGTGACCTGACAAGCAAAGTCAATCAGGAAACCAGATTCACTTAATAACTCTGTTACTAACTTAACAACTGCAGTGATTCACTTAACAACTGTGCAAGAAAGGTTGTAAAATGGGGAAAAAACTCACTTAACAAATGTCACTCTTAGCAACATAAATTTTGGGCTCAATTATGGTTGTAGCTGGAGTCCTACTTATTAGGACTACCTATTAGGAACCCTATTAGTTCCTTTTGTTTTTGCTGGATCTTCTACCAGTCCATTTTATTAGTCACACTAACACAGATTTACCCACTCAAGCAGAGCCATTAGGTTGGGATCTGAGCAACTCAGTTGCATTTACATCTCACTGAAGGTAATCAACTTTATTAATAAGTTTAATGAATTATTCATGTTGGACAGAAGAGGACACATGTTTTGTTACATTGCCCTGCATCCATCATTTTATTTTTTTAATGCATCCCAACTTTAACCAACTCCAGCAAGGGTTGCTGGGTTATATGATTTTTTTTAAAAAAAATATTTTTCATTTTTATTATAGTGAATGAAATATACTAAAAATATAGTGATTATAGTAAAATGTAGCAAATAAAAATGGACAGCCATAAATATAAAATAATGATTAAAATGAATAAAAACATCCTTTCCATTCCTTTTATTCCTAAAATGACACATTGTTTCTAAATTTGAATTAATTCCTACTTTTGTGTTTTTTGTTTTAACTCTTTGTTCTCGGCAATTATTTTTCCTATTTTAAACATAATTTTATTCACCTTACAATTAAAACATATAAACTAATACAAACAAAATAAAGTTAATATAAAATAAGTGCAAAAAAGAAAAATGTAAAAGAAAGAAAAAATAAGAATACAGTAAAGAAAAAGAAAATAAATATATAAAGAAATATCTTTCTCCTTCATCACTACAATATAGTTTTACTGAATTACCACCACCTATTAAAATTCAACAAATCATCTCTTTCTTCACTATTCCATCACTTGTCTGTAAACATATCCTTTAATCTTGGTCAGCATAAATCCATTAACAGATAATAATTTATCTAAGTTTAATCTTGATCAAATAAATCCATTTTAATTTCTTACTTTTAACAATCTTGGTCTTTAATGCCTTTTAATAATGTCCCAACACTTTATTTTTATTTTTTTGTCTCTTCTCACAAACTCTTTTGTAAATCCAATATAGGAAAGTTATCCAGATCAACCTTTTGGTTTGTTATGTGTACGTGCATTTTAATTATTAAGACATCAGCCAGTTTCATTTATATATCCAGTGTAGCATGTTTCCATACCATTCTGGCAGTCTGTCATTTTTAAATCCACTTTCAGATTTATATTCCTCCAGTATAACTTGTTCTTCCATAAGATCTTTTAAACACAGTATATCTATAATGGCAGGCACTCTTAAAATTAACTTTTGGTTCATTTTTCACAAATATCCTTATGTTCAATGTTAAAATATTTTGCTTCTTTCTGTATTACCCTGTTTCCCCCAAAATAAGACATCCCCGGATAATAAGCCCAATCGAGCTTTTGAGCACATGGCAATAAGGCCAAACGCTTATTTCAGGGTTCAAAAAAATATAAGACAGTGTCTTGTGTTCGGGGAAACAAGGTAGTAAAATTTAAGTGTAATCTGAGAAAGGATTGAAATTTTTTAAAACTTTGTGTCCAGTTATCATCTACTTTCTTACTTCCATGAATTTGCAAACAGGGCGAAAGGCAATAGTATTTTATTTTAAATTACAGAATTTGAAAAATATAATGTGGCCATTTCTCTTTACCTTGCTACACTCTCGTCCCCACAACATATTTATACAGGTTTTTATACATTTCTTATACATAGA